GCGTCCTGGTAGGTTAGATTAGATTAGATTAGATTAAGAATAATGACATAAACATCATCACTAGTTTTAAACATTCTTTCTGATTTCCTCATTATCAGAACTGTGAACATTTCACAGCCTTCATCATTAAAAAACAAACAAATTCTATAACTAACATAATTGTCATAATTTGTTTACATATAAAAAAGTTTAAAAAGTTAAAAACAGTTAATTTAAAAAATAAATAAATAAAAACAAATTCATGAGATATTTATTCCCTTTCTCTTGGCAACACACGGATTTTTATATAAATATTGGACTTGTTGCTTCTTCTTTTCGATATAATTTACACCCTCTATTTTTGCTAAAACTATATTTGACACTTCCCAAAAGTTGCCTGTGTCTACTAAATTATTAGTCTTTTTAAATTCTTCTAGATTAATTTTAAAATCAATAACAGACACGGAATTTCTAACAAAAGATGGCAATTTATTCCAAAAGCTGATAAAACGCTCTGATAAAAATTATTAGTTGTAAACTTTAAAGCTCCTACGATTGCGTCACCACTGGTGAGCATCAGAAAAGATGGTTAAAAACGTACATTTAAGAATACAATCCGATCCTTTAATCATGAACATACTCAGTTCGTGTTACATGATCTAAAACGTGTCAAACAGTATTATATATACAATAAATTAAATCAAGTGATGCAATTGGCAGAGCGCAATCGTAAATCCTGAGCAATAGATATCATCTATCCCACTGGTGAGCAAGCATTTGTTTGTTATTTAGTTGTGTTGAAAGGGAACATTACTTGATTAATTCATCCATTCGGATTTTAATAACGATGAGCTATGATATACCGTTCATCTTAGATTATTGGATCAATCTTATTATATGATTAGATTTTATAAACGAACTTGGCACACAAAAGATTATAATGCGGAGGTTGGCTGGCTCTTCTATAATAAATACGACACTTCAATTTACAGAATGCTTGCTAGAGATAAAACAAAATATTATCAGACTATACATGCAGCATGAGTAACTGGTGGATAAGCCTTCGGTAAAAACGGATCCGGAAAAGTCAATGCGGCACTCGGGTCCTTGGTATTGTCGTCGGTATATTGTCCATTATCTACGTTCTGCTTTCGTAGTTTAAACAATAGTGAGTTCTAAATATACAGCTTTAAACCGATTAAGTATGAATGAATGAAATACCTGACAATCCGCACTCTTATAATCCAAAAGCATGAGTAACTCGTAGTGATGTATGATCTCTAGAAACTTTAAATTAAATTTGGCGCTCACAGGTCCTCATGAATATGTCAGTTAAACAAAAATTCAGTTAAACAAATATTCAATTTTATGCCATTTATTACAGAGTAAACAAGTTTACAATAAATCAATTTGATATTTAAAGGAATCCTAATTCAATGTGTAGTATGGTTGTCACTCTTTAAATAGATTAGATATAGGTTGACGGGGCAAAGGAGTGTTCGTGCTGTTCGCTATTGCTCACACCAAACGGCAACCTAGTAAAATTTTTGTATGGACACCGGTCTCCATCACGATACAAAATTAGGATTGAAGAATTTATTGTATAACTTTTAGTGCAGTGGAGGAAGCGGTGTGGTGCATTAATAGAGTGACAGCCTACTGATTTAGAGTTGTTTTTACGTGAGCATAATGGGTATATTTTTGGACCTAAAGGCTAAACTATGGCAACTTTAAAATTGGTTCTTTTAATCATTTATTAAATATCACCTAAAAAATATATAAATCTGGAATCTGTTCACACTGTGAACCAGTCCTATATAAAAAAAACCTCTTAAATCAAATATTTAAAACGTCTCAATAATGGAAATAGTCATACAATTAAGAAATTTACCAAATTCTTGATATCTACCTTAAGATAAAAATACCTACCTAAGTCAATGTCTACCTGTAATACACTAAATATTAGGTTAAATACATAGGTGGTGGAGTCAGCACACATTTACCAAAATCAAAAATTTTTTAATAGGAGGAACCTGTGGGGCGAGAAGTGAGAACACTGGATTACATTTGTTGAAGGGGATTGTTTTCAAATGACAGCTGCATTATGTCATAATCGCTTGAAGTCCATGCTGAATCATTATAAGCATGTTGCAGCTTTAGAAGTGCCTTTTTGTGATCGCCGCATAAGGTTCTGTAAATGAGCAGGGCACCTTCAAGCTTAAATTATTCACATTACTGAGGCAGTCAACCAACACGCGGCTTTATTTTTATGATATGATATGTTTTGATTGTTATTAATAAATACCAAAATTTAAATTTGTTTTCCTAAAAAATTTATTTTCCTCTATTACCATGGCATATACTACGGGTATGGTGACTTGGGCTATTGAGTTGTTAGGTAGATTGAGATTAGTAAACATGCACTTGCATTGATTTTAAATGATTTTTATTTTTGGAATGTTTCGAATGAAGTTTTAGGGAAAATTGAAGGACCCAGTTATTTGAGCAATAAGGAGACACATGATGAATATCTTTGGTTTCATCCTTTTGTGGCAAAGAAGCGTTTTATAAATCTTTATTCCACTGGGAAGTTTTAATTAATTATTTATATATAATGCATTAGATTTTATTAATTAATAAAATTGAATTTAATAAATTATTAATGTTGATGGAAGAATATATCTATTTAAATTATTTTTCTATTTAGTGCAATGATATTTTGTAGACACTTGTGATGATGTAATGTCATAATCTTTACTTACTTACTTACTTATTGTATATTTTATAAAAACTAGAAATTAGGCTTCACGTTAAAATGAAGAAGCAGGTTGATCTTGGAGAGAGCATACCGTAAAGTTTACGCACCCACCAGGGCTACCTACCTACCCTTACTGGGCCGCGCTCAGCCTGTCATTCCGCCGAATCTCTATGTTTATGAACATAATAGCCTGAGGTCCCCAGGTAAACCTACCCCAGTTGTTCTTTTTGGTTTATCAGCTTTTATTGTTATATTTATGGACCCCAAGTCACCACACTAAAAATTGTCATACGTTGTATGACCCGTCGCGCACGAGTGCGCGGCTCCCCCTGTATCGTCAGTGGGGGTGTGAAACGACCGTGGGGTCGCAACGTGATACAAGCTATGTAAAAGTGATGAACTGGTTTGGTCTGTGACTGAGTGAGGGGCGATGTGAAAGTTGTGGTAAGTCCAGGTATTATCATTGTTGATGGATTGGGATCCTAGGGTTATAGTTTTACAGCGTAATTTAACCAAAAATACATAAGTAGTAACTGCTCTGTGCTCGCTCATCTCACCTATACAAAAAGCTAAAAAATGAAAAATAGCGCCACTGTAGGGATAGGCGCGCCTGGTAAGTAGTAAAACAACTTTTAATTTTACGGGTTCAAGGTAGCGCCGTGCACAAAAAATATATTTTAAAAAAATATGTTTGCTATATCTTCACATAGCCATGTGTATACGCGTACTGCGTGATGCGCTTGTTTCACAAGTTGAAAGCGGCGGTCGCGCGCTACTGCAAGCGAGAGGGCTCTGGTCAGAGCAATGCTATATCATATATATGATATTATGATATCAAAATAATAAGTTTTTGTATCACGTTGCGACCCCCACGGTCGTTTCACTATCGTCGACGATACAGGGGGAGCCGCGCACTCGTGCGCGGCGGGTCATACAACGTATGACAAATAAGTTTGGGGTCGCCAATGATTTGACGCACCGCGCGCATTGTCATGCTTACTTCGCGCGCTTCGAAGACGAGACCGTAGCGGGGCTATGAGCTGGAACAGATCGAAATTGTATATTAAATTAAATACTAGTATGAGCTTGCTTCTTGAAGAGAGGCAATCTACTTGCTGGAAAAAGTTGTCATTTAATTTAATTGTAAGCGAGCTGAAATCATTTGCGTTGATTAGAATAATTAAACATGTTAATTAATACACACTAAAATCATTAAAAATACACGCACAGTACAGGCTGCTCTGCATTTCGAATTAAAGATAAGATGTTTGCCGTTTAAATTTGTCCAGCTAAAATATCCTTCCACGCACAAGTTAGGGCAAGTAAAACGTTTAACGATGCAGCGCTAGAGACGAAATGCCATTTGATTAGTTAGTTGCAGGGTCTTCAAATTAAAATTACAATGGTGACTTATTGTAGGCCTGATGTAATAGACCTGCTGAAGGGTTTGTTGATAAGGTTTTGTTTTTAAAGTTTACAACGGTGCAACTCTGAGCCACAAGACAATTGAAATTCGTTAAACCTTAAGTTGAACTTTCTGTCCTGCTTTTAGCATGGCATTGTTTACTAATATTCAAAACATTCATAACACTTTATGGACGATGACTATTCGCCTTCTTGTCATCATCGGTTGGAGGGCATTGAATATTCGAAATGTTCTCATAGAACTTACAGTTTGTGTCTCTTCGATCTGTATTTTCCAGAAGATGACTCCAATCTCCTTGCAATATAACTCCCCTCAAGCGTGAGACTAAGAGTCGCTTTTCAACTCTATTGTGTATCGGTCTTCCAATATGCAAGTTCTTAAAGTCGACAGTTTGTACTTTTTGAAATGACTAATAAGGTAGCTTCTAAATTGCCAAGATTTTAACTTGGTAGTTGAATTTGGACCATCTTAATTTTATGCCGACGAATGGTTCTATTTACTTTGTTGTGATTCACGACAATTGCAATGGTTGTTTGAATACATATATATATATAAGGCAACTCCAGTCGTGGAGGTGGATCGATGATGAAGCATAAGTAATTGATTGTGGAAGCGTGAGTACCTCCCTTTACATAGGGTCATAAGATATCGTAACTTACTTAATTAACAATTTGTTTAAATGTAATATCCGGATTGGAGTATTGTTTATGAGTCGCATTGTTGTAATGTATTCTGTGTAAAATTATCTTTATCCCGGTTACTGCGACAAGTAAAAATGCTCTTATTAGGGAAAGGAGTTTACTTGACGTTTCAATGTAACTACATCGTATTCATGATCTCAAATTATTTGTTATATAGTAGTGTTGAAAGTATTAAAAAATACTTTAAAAAAATACGATGTAGTTACATTGAAACGTCGAGTAAACTCCTTTCCCTAATAAGAGCATTTTTACTTGTCGCAGTAACCGGGATAAAGATAATTTTACACAGAATACAATTTGTTTAAAGATGGGTTTACTTATTTCAGTATATTTATGATGGCAGGAAATAATATTTATTATAGCACTAAAGTTTTATTGGTTTTCTTTGTTGTCTCATTCCTTAAGGATTGATTGTCACACCAGTGCTTTGTCACAAGATCACTAGATTTTTGATTTGATGACCGTTCTGTTTTAGGATTGCACGGATGACATGACCACCATGCCATATAGAATTGGCCTTGAGAATTATCTTCAAAGTGTAAATTATATCATTCAACCTCCAAGGTTCCATTTAAATCTATGTATCTGTCAAACAGTAGATGACTTTCTAAGTTAAAAGTTAAAGCAACATTGTAAATTTTTTTAGAAGAACCAATAATTAATCAATGCGAAGGAAAGAAGAATTTCTAAGTTTAAGACATTAATGTGTTTCAAATTTTGTCTCTATACCAGACTAGAGCACCAAGGGGCACACTATAAAGATAGTGAAGTAAAATTACAATTTTCACTCCCTAAATGTTTCATGGCCTAAATATTATGAAATCAGTGCACTCAAATGTATAAAATTTCCTCCATTTGTTTCACATCTGCTTTTCTTGTTCTTTTGATTTGAAAATCAACTCGAGAATGATTTTGGGCAACAATCTTTCTTCACATAATCAGCATTCATAAGATGAATATCCATTATAGTTGAATTGTTTCTTCATTTGGTGTTTAACTGCAGTCCTCTTGTTTTTGGGCGCCATGCCCCAGGGCCTTGGCAGTGCCCTATTACTTCCCACACTCCCACAGAACTCTCATTATTTTCCTAAATTCGCTTGTTACCCCTAAGATGAGACAGAAAATAGTAGATTCTCACAGGCAATTTTCTATTGCATAATATCAAATACTTAACTTAAATTAATATTTCTAACAAAAAAATGTAACAAAATAAATAGAGTTGCCACAATTTCCAAATAAATCCCAATTTCGAAGGTAGTCATAGTGTATGAATCTGACTTTCTGTGGGATAGCCTGGATACTGGATAGGGCCAAAGACCACACATTACAATTAATACTTTAAATAAAAGATTCATCATTCCAGCAATCTTTTGAGATGTTTTCAGATTTATTAATATTAGAATATACTTTTTGATTAGGTTCTGATTTGACCCTAATAGGATCAGAGTGTAAACATTGTGTTTAGCATCTTTGACTGTTTTAAACCGTTTTGCGCTTTGTTTGTTTGTAGTTGATAAAATTGCTAAAAACATCATACATATAATATATAAATGATTTTATATTTTACGTACAATACTTTAAACGTTTCTTGAAAGTGGCCAATATTGTAGTATGTTCTTAACCATTTCAATTCAGTTACAAACTGTTGGTTTAGTACTTCCTACTGAAGACTTGGTTATACTAGGTTTTTGCAAATGGAGCTGACTTCACTGATTGCACAATGTGGTTCCTATATTTTGTACTTCTTGTTAATTTCTGGTTTGGAGTGATCATGTTATGAGATGATCTGAGATAAGAAGGAGACGATATTCTTATACATGCAGGACTCAGGGTTAGGTTTTATTGGAAAGTTTGGGCATTTTTAAAATGATGCATTTTAGATACATTTAATAATATCTTTGTTTTGTCAAGATGTTCAGTATTCTGAAAAGTTGCACGTGCTGTGTGCGAATATGCAATTGTGATCTACAGAGCAATTGTTTTACTCTAGCACATGGTGGGCTCATCTAGCAGGATAAATACAGTTTCGAGGCCCATCTGGGTTAATCGGTAAAAAAGAAGTAAAACTTCTCCTGAAATGGTAGTAGAAACGCTGTATTAACTGTTCAATGGGTCGCCCAATAAAGGTGCCTCCTGATGTTATATATAACTCTGAGATTGGGTGACCAGGAAATGCCCCGCACCAACTCTCCACCTGAGCTATTATTAACTTCCACTGCTCCGTCTCACGTGACAACCCGTCCCACCAATCACAGTCATCGTCCCCTTTAATGGTGTGCATTAACCAATAGGGATATAGTAATTTGCTGGCTGTTTTGCGTATAAACAGAGGCACCCAGCCGGATATCCCCTGCTGTATTGAACGGACCCGTTTGTGCCATTAAGTGCACAGTAGACCTTGGTTGTATGGACGAATAGATCTTTTAATGGGGTCTATAGTGATGCTTGCTTGAGGAAGGGACCTTGCACAAGGGAGGTTCTAAAACCACAAACAACAATATAACGTGTATATCTGTTTAATGAGACCCTACCGACAATCAGGCCGATGTGGCTTCCTCTTTTGCAGGCTCTGGATCACCAAATGGATTTAAAGCAGTTTATGCAGGGGTTCGTGGTACCAAAGACATTCCAATCAGACTTCATTGTGACCAGGATTATTACAGAGTTTTACAGTTTATTCTTTAACTTTTGCCTCATATTCGTTTCTAAGCTTTAAATTAGTTTTGCTGTTGAATTGTAAAATGTTTTGCACCAAATTTCGTAATTGAAACCACCTAGATGGTAGCTTTTTCCTACTAATTACTCCCCCACAAATAAATCTCAGGGTTATTTGGGTAACACCTCAATTTTCTCGGCTAAGAGTTTTTAACAACTCGCAGATCAGGAAACACCACAATCCATATTAGGCGGTGTAGGCAGAGTTACCTTAACTTGTCCGTGTATTGATGCACTTAGTTCCTTCTTCCGATTATACACTCTGTCCAGCACACAGATTTGTTTGCACTTCCCTAGATTTGTCAAACTTTGCTGGCAGCAGTGAACTGGACCTACGTGGACACATGTAATATGTGCGTAGACAACTTGCTAGCATCTTTTTTCTTGATATATACCACTTGCACTTTGATAGTGAATGAAAATCTTACATGACGCAGTAGAACATTTCACTTATCATTTATTGCAGCAAACCCCTACTAATCTGTAAATCTGCGTGCATTGAAATTTTCTTTGCTCTCTATTTTTGGAGAGGCTCAATTACAAATTTCAGACTCTTTATAATTTTGCTGCTTGCAAAGAAGGACTATAATATATAAATCCTGCACAGGGCTGCAACTTGCAGATTTCAAAGACTTTGAATCTGTTGACGATTTCATAACCGGTGTTCGGTCCAGACTCTACTTTAGTAATACTCTAACTTAACTCGGACAATGGTGTTCAAAGATAGTGATGTAGTTAAAAATGGGTGTGTTCGTGGACCGTCAAATCGCTGAGAAATCTGGGCTGCATGTACTTCCGAGTTGTTGTTAGCGTTCTTTAACAAGAGTAACGAGGAAGAGGCCTTGCTAATTTGATTTTCACTTACCTGTACTTGTTACTAGAACAAGGAAAAGCACTGAGCATCCTTTTCACACTAGAGAGGAGCCCACTATGTTAAATACTTGCTAACTTGGCAACTGCTTTGCTAGCTTGCTATATTATTCCAGTAGACGTGTGTCTTGTCTAGGTCTGGCTCCGCTAACCAGCGCGCTGCCCGGGTGTCCCTCTTTTCCTCCACAGGAAGAAGCTCACCAAATGTTCTAATTTAGTATGTTTCCAGCTTTGCCTATGCTAAATTTAGAAGCTGCTACCATTAGAGAAGGCTTAAAGAGGCAGTTTAGCAGCGAGTATGTTTTTTCTCTATCAAACAAGTCTGACCAATACTTGATAGACGGATCTATTAGCGGCAATGTCTCTTTATTCTGTTTTTATTGATGTTTCGTAACCTTATGTCATTACCCTCGTTTCCAACTTGCTTACTCGTGTGCAAAACCAACCATCGGTTCTAGACATAGTTTCATTACTTTCGTTTCCTAATTGGCTGTGACAGGACCAGGCCACGCTGAAAGAACAGCTCGTCATTGTTTTGAACATTTTCCTTTCGTCAAAACTCAGAACCTATTACAGCATATTTTACGAGAATAATTTAAATGACTGTCTGGTTAGTGCTTGAGATATACGGAGGTGTCAGAGTGTCATTAGTCCAGGAAGAAGGCTCAAATACGTTCCTATCTGACCAATTAGCTGACAGAGCAGTGTTCTTTATGGATATCAGATTTTGTGAGGCTGGCGGGGTATTTAGTGCTAAGTGTGACACCATCTGCTGACCGGCAAACTTGATAGAATCACGCTCGACCCCTCTCGCTGGACTCTACATTTTGGCCCTATATGGAAATTTATGACAATTATTCTAATAAATATGTGACACTTAGGAGTGTTTGAGTTGTAAGATCAGACAAGTTCTGTTGTAGAAGCTGTTAGTGTTGGCGTTATAATATCACCTGCGCTACGTGATCATCTGCTCCTTTGTTGCAGACACGTCTCTCTCGCCCTCGTCTCGTACAGGACGTGTTACTGTGGTGACATGTCCTTAGCAAGGAGTCATTACATCCTATTAATATGCCCCGCTGGTTTTTCTTTTTCGTCTCATAAGTCGTGTCGGATTTTGGAGTTTCTGCTTTAATTTTGCAGAGTTAGGAAAATGTTATGGAGGATATTTGTAGAGAATATTATGACTTGTAGACTTGTTGCTCGACCTATAGTTTAGCGTGTCATTATGTCTGCCGTTCAAAATCGCTGGACTGTAAAATTTGCAGTTGCATCAAAATATGGCTCCGGCGTGATTAAACGATCTCTGCCCGAATTTCAGTCGTAATATTATGTAATATATTTCTTGATAATATTGCACCTGGTCGATACCTATTGGTTCTCGGTATGGAAACATTACTAAGAAGTAAGGTGTTCAATTTAGATATATGTCCAAAATGTTATCTGATGTCTCCATAATTTAATTTATAATACGTATTTATCATCTTCAAAGGGAATTTGATTGATCTTATTGTAAATGCAAACAAACGGCCGATTATCGTATAAATAGCCTGTCGAGTGGCGAGTGGCGAACCATTTTGCTTGATAACCACGATAATCCCTCAAATACATATCTAGATTATTCTGGAAGTGCTTTTTCAGTTATATAGTACTCGAGTTGTGCCTGCAGCTCACCAGTTGCTGCTTCCCGCATTAACCTCATATTGTTCCGCACTCGAGATATAATATACAATAGTTTTTGTAAATTGTAACTTTTAACTGCCTCGCACAAGCTCTTACGGAGTACTTACGATAATGGTGTTTCCTACTTGGAGTACAGGGCTAGCTCCGAGGTGTTAACCCGTCGAACTTAGTTTCGCTATACCTTGTAACAGGTATAATCAGATACTTTTATTGTTTGCTTGAACTTTGATTACCCACCATTGATGTGTCGCCTGATAATTAGAATTTTCGGAAAGTTCAGGCTCTGGTGTCGCTGTCAGAGCTTGTAAGTAGCCAGTGCCCAGTAGTACTTATAGTTGCCTTTAAACATGTATCCAACGTTTGCAAACGTTTGTTTGCTTACCGTTGCCATTACTTTTTAAAGAGTTTTGTAACCTTAATTTTATGCCATGCGATGAGGTCCTCACTTGAAACTTCAGTTCCAATGTCAAGAGAGGGTCGGCTCACTGGAGTTCACCAACCTTGCTTTCCGGAAGTTAAACAACTGTGGATAAGGAGGGTAGTTCACTAGCTCAGCTCACTGACTCTCACTCCCCAGTCACCCTGGTAGCCAGTACAGGACAAAGCGCACTCCCTTGCTTGTGCGCTCGGAGAACCAGACATAACTTCCTTCTTGCGAGCCAACTTTCTAATTTTGGTAGTAGAACCAGACGTACAGGTGTCTAGAGCTCGGTGCAAGCTTATTATAGACTTTCCGGCCTACCTGGGTACAGGAGCTATGCTGGACAGAGAGAGAGAGAGAGAGAGAGAGAGAGAGAGAGAGAGAGAGAGAGAGCGAGAGAGAGAGAGCACCCGACTACTTTCTTATACTAACATCTGTTTATACTGCAATTAAATTACCCCGTAATTTTAATTGAATGGTAACAACTCCCCGCATGAATTATACTCGAACGTTCCCCCAATATTGGGACATTTTCCTCGCCCTTTCGTGCTTGTTTTTAAGTTGGAGGTTAGAAAGGTTTCAACTGAGTCCGCGTGAGTCCCAAGTGTTGACCACGTGGCAGGGAGTATTGCTAATAATGCAGTGGATATTATATCCGTAGTATTATGATTATCTAGTGGGGTAGTGAGGTGCGTGCTGCCACACCGTCCGAGGCAGGAAGTCACCAGGACCTTCTCTCTTTTCTCTCACTCTCACCCCGCCGTTTACTCCATGCAAATTACTCTTGTTAATGCATTCTCCTTGGGAGGTCCAGGCTGGTAGGCTCCTAATCTTATCGTATAAGTTGGGCCTCATTTTTCCTGTTCTTGTTTCAGAGTGGCATCCGTTTTGATTGGCGTTGAGTGGTAGCCGATTTTAGTTCCCAGGGAACACTAGAATACCTGCTACATTTGGTCGGAATAGCTCACGGTTGCGATTTGAACTCGAATATTATGCTGGCCTATGTTTCTGCAGCTGTCTATGCGATATATGTTCAAAGTGAGATAATACGTCAATTTATGGGAACATGTTTCAATTTACGGTGCCAGGAGCTCAATGTGCTAAAAGCACTCGGACAAATCTGCTACTAATATTAAGTATTCCGAGCTGATGGCTACTCTGCTGCAGCTCTGAACTCATGGTAGCAATTTCAAAAACAGGGGTATATAATTACGTTCAAGCTCCCCTTCTTACTGTGCAGATTACTGCGATATTATACACGTACATTTTATCGTTATTATAGTTTAGCAGAGAAGGAAATAGTTAGATTTTCTGCTCATCACTCCCTCCCTCCCTCTCTCTCTCTCTCTGTGCTAGAATTAGAATTACTCCCCCGACTGGCCAGTATATCTCCGAGAGTGGTCTCTCTGGTTCCAGCAAGGCTGCCGGGCCTACTCGCTCTGACACTTTCAATAGTGACAGTAAGCGTATCGTGACAGCATGTGTTAACTGTGTTGTGTTTCGTCACCCGAAATAAGTTTCTTAATTATACTGCTGTTAGCATATTACAGTATCTACCTGTAATATATTGTAAATCAGTTAGACTCCAGCCGTTACTCTTCCGATTCAGTTCTGCTTTGCATTGTTGAAAGATATTTTAATTATTGAATTTTGGTGACTGTAGAATATATATCACAAATCGGATGCCTTTACCAGTGGTGCCTGCCCATGCCTGCCTGTCTGATGTTTCCAAATCGTGCTGCATTGCTGAAATTGTGCTATTTGTCTAGCAAGCCGAGCATTGTTGTACATAATTAGCTCCCGAACTAACCTTAATAACCACCAAGAGAGAGAGCATATTATATTCGCGGCGGTTTTTAAAAGTATTTTCAATGGCCTTCACTAGTCAAGCTTTATTTACATAATCCGTACCTAAATATTTTAAAGTTTTAAAACACATCCTGTCCTGTCTTTGCCGGGAGTATATTAGTCGTCTTGCTCGTTTTCGTTTCGTTAGTTGGTAGTTGGGCGAGATTCGCTTTGACAGAAAACCCTCGTTGTGGAGACTGGAGAGGTAGGTGTTTGGTACAAAGGTCAAAGATACTTTTGTACTATACACAGCCACCTCATCAACCAACATTAAATCTTTGTCTACAGTACTATTTAGAAAATATTTACAACATTCAAAACCTTAAATGTGCTATTGTTTTAGGAGTCTTTTGAAAGAATATAAAGTACTCTTATTCGTGACTAGACATTTAAAATGAGTTAATCTGTATGAGTTATAGAGTTATAGAGTTATAGTGATTCAAAGTCCGGTGGAATTCTCACGAATCCCACTGTCCCATGCAATGGTAAAATATTTGTCGGAAGTAGCGACTTTATTGAAAGTAAATCCTTTCTCTTTTTCAATTAGGTCATGGATATTTGCATATTTTCTCACGGTCTTATATCCGACATAGGTTTCAAGATGATGGAAATAGTGGCAACCTCGGACCTAATCAGGCCAAAACCGACGTACAACCCCCGAATCATAACATCTCGATTCTCACCGCAGCGCGAGACACCATCATCCCCTTACCAGCAGTATCTTCCTAAATCCACCTCCTCCCCCCACTTCCCCACCTCTCCCCGACACATCACCTCCTTGAGCAGTCAGGCTTGCTCTGTCAAGGTACTGCTGTCAGTGCCCGGTTGGGTGCGTTTAACTATTCTAATTGTAGATCATTAGCTGTTAAAAAGTATTGCACCTAGCTCACTATCTGTGTGATATTACTACTGATACACACGCAGTTTCCAAGTTATAACCAAGACTCATGACACCCGTGCTTCTGACATGTCGTTAAGTGTTGAAATCATAATCAAATCTTAAGATGTTAAACACAATTGCGTCAAACTGAGAGCTCTGTTTTTCTTTATGCAACGTATCCGACTAGAATAATACGAGATAATATTCAGAACTGTACACCTGTCACAATACGAGTTAGTTCCTCTTTTTTAACAATCTGATTTCACAATTGCTCAATTGGTTTTTTTGCAGTTGCCAGCAGTCACGATACCATTTGTAACGCACAATGGATTGGTCTACGCCAATCATTCCCCCAAGGGAATGGTGATTCCGAGTACAGAGCGGGGGACAACAGCATCCCCGACAGTATCCCCGACCAACACCACTACGCCGACCACTCCTCTGCCGACCACCCCTGTTACTCCCGCCTATCTCCAACAACCCACCCCCACACGCCCCACCCCCAAGAAGATATACACCTGCAAGCTGTGCGGAAAGACGTTCAACAACTCTGGAAACTTTTCCCGACATCAGAAAGTACACACAGGTAGGAGGTTTACAGCATTGTTACATCACCTTACATTCAGGGCAGGTGGCACCGGTTTTTAAACCAAACAGTTAACAGCGTGCGTCAGCCTTGGTGACCCTTATAGAGACACTTAAATCGCTGCAAGCTGTCATTAACTCAATGTTTGTTTGCCAAGACTACATCACACCAGCTGATTTTTCTGTTTTTCGCCAAAAGGGAGCATGTTGCTGTGTTCCAGACTCCAGACCATCATGCTCCGAGCTCTCCACCAGAGTTGTTGGTTGCAGCACACTTTGACAATTGTCTCGGGTACTGCCATTATTAAAACTACAGTAGTAGGGCATCCATCGTAGATGAGATCTATAAATAGCACTGTTAGTGGGTGCACGTTTCCCTTAGCGAAGGTACAGGAAACAGAGGGTGAGAGAGGTGGAGCTGACTGAGGGGGCAGGTCTCTTCAAGCCGGAAGAGAGCCAGTGTACTGCCCCTTCTCTCTCTCTCACCAAGTTATTGTATGCACGTTAGTACCAATATTGACACATCACCAGAACGGCTGTTAGCAAGCCTGAGATCTCGGCTCCTCTCTGAGAATTTAGTAAGCTCCGAAAAGAACAGGTCATCAACTTGGCAGTTTAGACTAGCTCTCTCGGTTATTGGTACCGCGCAGTGCACGATTTAAAACATGATCGCTAAAATCTCTCCATGTCACGAAGCCTGGTAAGTAGATTTTCAAGACAAACGATATTGGACATTTTAAAACATTAGTGAATATTCAAAATTTCAAACCGGCCTAAATTTAGAAACCAAGCTCATTTCCTTCATTTTATTTGTTGAGAAGGAGAGCATATAAAAACATGATAACAGGACAATTAGTACGTGCTAGAAGGTGTGGACACACATTTTGCAACGTTTTAGATCCATCAAGCTATCTAACCATCTACACGGTCTTTTTTTTTTTCAAGCTCCCATATCACGGCTTAGTCCGCACTACATGCAAACTGCATATTATTATATCCGATATCCCAGATCGAAACTAATAGAGATTCCTCAAAAGATCTAACAGCCTATTATTCCACCAGGTGAAAAGCCGTACCGCTGTGAGATCTGCGGGAAAGCCTTCACACAGTCCAGCACGCTCAAGCGCCACATCCTCAGCCACAGCGGAGATAGATCCTACAAATGCCAGGTAAGATCCCGGGGGGAGACAAACACTTTAGCAGATGCTTTTCTGCTCGAGTGAGTGAGGTCGGACAATAAGTTGAGGGTGTTTATATCTGGCGCTATCTAGGGTGTTTGTTCTGGATGTTAAAACAGTAAGTATTGGTGACAAGTGTGGAGTTGTATCCCCGCGCTCTCTCCATCCTGACAGGTGCTTGTGAACGCTGCTAGTTGTAGGGTAGCCTCTTATGTCATGTGCGTTGACATCCCCGCTCTCCCCGTCCGTTCACTTCCGAACTTTTACTTGCCTTGTTTCATGTTTTGTCTCTGCCAGGCGCAGGTTTAAAACTCTATGTAGGAGATATATTACAAGATATAGTGCGAGGCCTCTTAGTGGGTTTCATCCCACCCGAATCTATTAGTTACTTTTTAAAATTATTATTTTCTCCTTATTAAGGGTCCGAAAGTTACTGTGAGCTAGATGAGAAGCGCGAGTCTTCGGGAAAACGCGTTTAAACAAATTACAAAATTATTGCAATTCTGGAGTATCACAAAAATGTGAAATTATCACATCATTGGAAGAATAAGCTAGGATATTGTCTAATATACCTAATTTAAATGCTAGTTTGAACATACTTTGCGGGTAAAGACACCGCCAAAGATTCGCATTAAGTCTATCGATTAGTTGCAAGCTTTAGCGTTATTGATAAAAGTTAGTTTTAACAATCCTACCCTGACTTCTCGTCACAAACGGACTAAACTTATCCATTATTAATTTTACCCTCCCTCTCTCTCTTCCCTTTGACCAGTAAAAATACTCCTAACCCACAGAACCCGCAATTATACCTTATCTCTCTCTCCGGCAGGTCTGTAGTAAGGGGTATGTGGACCCGTGGTCGCTCAAGAAACACATGAAGAACCACGGATTCAACACGTACTCACACGTTCCCGTGAAACCCATCCTGCCGCAGTAAGTAGACAGATTACTATTATCTACCCAGACAGAGTACTCATTATTGTGCTTAGTGTTTGCTTACTTAGGAATATAATTATAGCACAGCCTGCTGTTGAGTTATGTGCCTTCCTCGGACAGCCTGTATCTATTACGGAGATAGTTTTACATGAACTTTCACCCTTTCAACTTGAAACCTTATGTGTGACAGATAATGATAGAGAGGGTTTTAACTGTTGCAAGAAGTTTGGTGAAGTATAAAATGTAATCCGAGACTGATAATGATCACCTGATCGAGAGAAAGATTAGCGGAATCTATCGTTTCCTGGTATCCTTTCCTGGAATAATATCCAAAGATTTGAATATGATCTTTCAATTTTTCACGATTGTCTCGAATTCTTCTCCTAAAAAGTGAAGGTTAAGTTCCCTGGAATGTTGTGAGTCTCGGAGTGAGGGGTCCGCCTATTGAGAAACCCCAGGACAGGAGGCCGGACCTCTCAGAGACGAAACTCATTGCAACACTGTTTGTTGTGTTCATTGTTCTTAAGCTGGAGTTGAAACAATTGGGCTACTGTCTGCCGCCGCAGCATAAACCCTAATTCATACCCCTAAGACAATGAATGGGTAATAGTGACAAATGGGGTCCCATTAGTGTCAGATAATTTGTCGTGTGGTGAGTGTTCAGCTAGTATCGAGTAGGCTCGCCTTTAGTCCCCCTATTGTTTTTCTTTAGGATTGCTGTCTTTCTGGCCGATCTGCCACAGTATTACCCATTACATTCATTTGTCAGGACTGAATGCCCGGATTCATTTGTTATCTCGCCTGTCCGACCTTCCTCCCTCTGTCACGGCTCACTTCGTTACTTCATTTATATCGTTAAACATCATTCCACCAATTTTCCAGCGCTTAGATGCAGAATGCAGATAGATTTTCTTATTCACGTCATGGTTTCACGATCCACAAGATGGAAACTCGTTGGGTTCCCTGAATTTTTCAAAAAAATAGCACTTCTTGCTAGATACTGAAATTAAAAGTTAAGCTTTACTCGGAGAAGTGGTCCATTGCAGCGCCCATCGGGGTGTGCCTAAGTGCGGTATACTTTATAGCGAAAAATGTGAAATATCCCGACCAACTTGACACAAGTACGATATAGACTTAGCTTCAGCACCCTTCACCCACCAGAAGGTCGGAGCTCATAATCTGTCCTGGATTTGTCACAAAAATAGAATACCAAGTTTGTATAGGCACTCGATATTTCGATTTTACGTTATGACGATGATGGCGTATCCTAAGAAGCGGTGACTAATGAGGCAAGTGTCTTGTGTGTCAAGTGGTCTGGAGCGACTACCCATTCCCGGACCTGATGAGAGCCGGTGGGGGTGATAATCGCAGCCGCTCGACGGCAAACGGTAACCAGTTCCGCACATCAGACCATATAGACTTTCGATTTTGTTGAATGATTTGGCACTCCTAATCTTTGGATTATTATATTGGGTATAAATTATGATTGTTATCAAGTTCAGATCATTGCATGTAGTAGACGCATGACAAACCGCTGTCTATTTGGAGCGTCTACATGCCCATTGTCTGTCAATAACACTTGGGGGACACGTCATGAGTACCCGGGTATAGTAGTTATTATTTTCGGCGGACCCAGCATTATATTTGCCCTGGAAATCTCGTAATTACGGAGAAGACGACGTCCACCCGAGTATTGAGGATTTCAAATTTGGGCTACTGACAATGTGGTAGCGCGGTAGGTGGTAGGTGAGGCCTGGGTTCATGCTAATGTTGAGGGACTAGTCTTATGAGGTTCGTCTAGACCCGGGGGGGGCTGGTAAACCAGTTGCTGGGAGGTCAGAGTCCTGGGTGAGATGACAATGCGCACCTAGACACCGAGACAAGACATATCGCTCTCTCTTTCTCTGGCTATCGGCCGGTGATAAATAACCTAGAGATACCTTGTCTTATCCAAATGATAATTACCATTCACAAGGTCTGCTGAAATATGTCATGTTGTCATGCAACAATGAGCTGTGACTGCGACTGATCCTGACCATCAGGTCTCTCTCTCGCTCGCTCTCAGTCTCAGCCGTACAGCTGCTGCTCCAATTTTTATTGTTAGAGTTAGCAGCAATGCCCGTAAATCATAGCACTCATAATGGTGAGATGTGTGTCCATGCTGCCTCTCAGTGGCAAAGACACTGAGTGCTTCATGCGGTCAGGTTAGTAATCAAAAGTGTATCGAGAAGTATGTCAGTGCCACTTCTTCGACCATAAACGTGGCATAACATCCGATACAATGAGAACAATGCATATCAATGTAAATAGCTAAAGAAATCTGTCTGCAACAGAGTTTAGGCAGAATTGTGTCTTGTCTTATTTGACCATCCTTAGAACGGCAATCTATTCTAGACTCACCAACCTCCAATTAAACTCTCTTTGTTTCTTAATCAACATTGTCATCCCAATCTACTTCTACTTTTGCGGGTTCTGTAGAATTCCAATGCAATATACCACCACTGCCATTATATACTGAGCCTCGATCGAGAAATGCTGATGAATTTTGCGATGGATAAATTGTGCTGAGCCTGATTCGAAATAAAGTCTCAAGGGCGATTAATAAAATGCATTAAGATATGTATACCACTGTGCAAGGCTTTTATCTAGAGATTGCAAGCAACTGCTCATAAAATATGCGCCCTGGAGTCTATAATATCTTTATTTGAGATTTAGCTTTTATCATCTCATTTATGGAGCACCCAAGGGCAGAGCCTATCCAACAATCAGTTGAGATTAGTCACTGGTCACCATTACGGCTTCCATCCACGTCACAGATCAGAAAATAGTTGATTTTTAGGGTTGACCGGCAGTGCTGGACAGATTTTAAGCGAAATTGGATTCAAATGAGTGATTCAGAATCCGGATTTTGACAGAAAATTTCGATTTTCAAATTATCCGAAGCTGATATACCTGGAAATTAGAGATTTGTTGAGAGGGTTGAGCGATGGTATCTGATATAAAGCAAGGTTATATTTAGAAACTTGTAGGATATATTTAGAAACTTGTAGGATATATTTGGCAGTTAAAAATGGTCCAGAAAGATAATCTCCCCGTTAAATTAACCGCTGCTCCGTACTGCACCGTGTATCCGGGCTGAAGGGTCAGCTCATGTACCAGGCACCTAATATTAGTGTAACGTACAGGGTGCACCTGGGGCCAGCTGATGCGCCCGGAAAAGCAAAATATAATGGCATATATATTTACGTGTGTGGTGGAGCTGACTCTTAGAGAGCACGTGACCCTCGCATGATGTTAACCAGGGTAACTATCTTCCTGGTCTCATGACACGTTCTCTCTGGAGAGCCTGGCTGTCCGGGGGTGATCACACACCACCTCCACTCCCACCACCGGGTACCCACGATCACTACTCACCCCGGACCACACCTCCCAACACACCCACGTAGTAGTTGTGTCTCCTTCTGTGCTACCTTTGAGAAGCCCTTGGAAAGTCCTTAAATAGAGAGGGTTGTGGTATCTGTGAGACTCGCCCCTTTGCTGCAGTACAAGTTTGTAGCAGTGAACAATGGGGTACTGCAATGTCGTGCACCAAACCCTCAATCAGCCCTTATAAAGCGACCTTTGTTTGTAAAACTGAAGAGGCACGCTTCTCTAGAAAAATCGGCCCCTAGAAATATCTGCCGATCTGAGATGATAGATCTTCAGCTCCTGATAAGATGTAAAATGTGGGCGTTATATGGAATTTACATGTCAATCTGACAGATAGTGCCACAATATTGAGCTATTTTATTAGGTAAATGTAGACGGATGGTGAATGCTGGTAGTAAGTAGTAGGTAGTAGGTAGCGCTCTGGCTATTTAATGTTTTATACTGAAACGCTGTAAGCCTAAATCCCCCTATATCGATTATACTATTTATCGTGGATAGGGTTATTCATCATATTGTATGAGTAAGTTATGAAATGTTGCAAGCTCCGATAGTCATAATTGTCGTACCCAACAAAATAATGGGTTATGTATTTATTTGTAGGCGTGGTCACCAAAAAATACCATTTGTTAATATTTCTTCTTTTAAATTCTAACAAGAACTTGCGCAATTTACCTAATACCTTGGTATGTTACCAACGGTGTATTACTATTAGATATAGGTGCAAACGCAAAATTCCGTTCCCGTGAATCAAATAAAGAGTCCGCTGAGCAGCAAATCCCGTCCTCTAAAATGCAATTTTCACAGCTAGTGTTGTTTTCTAAGAAAAGCTGGTGTTAATAAGGTTAACTCTATACTCAGCAGCCCTAATCATAGGCTTAGCGGGGAGCGGATGAAATCAACACCAGTAAGCTGTATAGTCCGGTAACTCTTATTGTACCACATAGCGGAATACCGGAGTATCTTGTACCATCAACAGAACACTAACTTAACGTTGAGTATCTCTGTTTCACCGTGCTCTGGGTTGTATTTTACCTACCCTCTAACCTTTCCCAGCCAATAAAATCTCATCTCTGGTATCATATCACGTTAAACGATGGAATATTTGAAACAAGTGCGGAATGTCCTTTTCTCTGCCCGGAAATACAACTGTTTTTACGCGGAGAGGAGATCGTCTCAGTGCTTCTCAACATAAACGGAATGTAGCTAGATCTTTACGGTATAAGTAGCTCCAATCTGCTAGTCAGCTGTTGGCCCAGCCGCTGCAATTACTCTGATCCTGATGGAGTGAAAATAGCGTCGGCTAAACCTAGTAACAGGTCGTACTAAGGTGTCATTAATCGGATAAAAAACAGATTGTGGCATTTATAGGCTTGCTGCTTAACACTTTTTCCCCTATTCGCTGAGATCGCCTATTTCAGGGCGGGTTTCACTGTCCATCATCTGGTGTTCACCGTTTGTAGCAGTATGCGTTTATTGTTTGTTGAGAGCTGCAATATATTATGTCCACCTATCATCGAATATTTGGTCATGTTGAACGGCAAAGCAGCAAGCTGTGCTCGGTGCTGCTCATCATCAGGACTGCACATTTTCACTGTCTTCAAGAAAATGAATCGACCATCGCAGTCATTTGACATGCAAACAATTTAGCCTTAACAAATTTATTTCGGCGACGAGTCGTGGAGCACAGTTAACGGTTTTTAGGATGTTGAACGGTTCTAGAGAATTGAAATGACGACAAAGTCGGTGGTACTTATGCTGAGCGGACTGGTTTAGACAGGATTAAGACAGGATTAGACAGGATTTTGATGTGAGTCTAGTGCTCGATGCCGAATCTTTTTTTCAGGAGAGGAAGACATTTCCGGTAGTTTCAAATAGTCGCCAGAGCTTTAGCGGTGGTACGTGAATTGTACTGTGGCAGAGCCGTGTGTAGGTCAGCATATTTCATAGCAACATCCTTTTATTACACTCTTAATGAAATGATGCAGACACAGCCGTATGAATCTCTTAAGAAGTCAGGTGACCGCACATTTTCACTCAGTTGGTGGAGCCAGGTCACTTGACCCCCAGATTAGGGTCTCATTGGTCGGAGAGAAGAGATGTGGCCCTTGCCACATAATCACATTACCCAAACATAGTAACTAGGTTATAGTAGACAGCTGCTCAGAACAGAGACTAAATCGTGTCTTATTTGAGGGCCTTTGTAGTCAAATCAACTTGGCACTGGATAAACCCATCATTTGAAGATCACAATATGAATTTTCATCATTAACTGCCATGTTGTTAATAGCCGACCATGGCATGATCATCGATGAAGACTTTCAAGTTACTCCAACAATTTCTGTATTAATTACCAGATGCGCCGGCTTCTTGACTTGAAATTTAATGATTATGTAAACGTCAGGCCTGGTAACAGTTCAGAATTCATCTTTAACCGAGAAACTGTTCAATCCTGCTGCCGGCGACAGTAATCGTCGAATCTTAATCCTCAGTCTTCACGGTAACTAATTTGGAGATCGTGGAGCTAAATTCTCATACTTTCAACACTACAAAACACTATATAAGTAAGATCGGTCACTTGAACACGTGACTGTGATAACATTGCAACGTAAAATTGAGAATTTGTTTGACCTGTCTTCCTAAAATGGTGAGCTGTGTTTCCTTTGTCGCTGACACGCGAACAAACATTGAAAAATCATCATTGAAAATAGAATACTACTAAATACTTATCATAACATTAACAGCTCAATCTTGAGATCAAGTACTCAGTTTAACTGTGTGACCTGAAAGTTCTGTCCTCATGTACGTGCCCCCTCTTTGAGCTCCCCGACAGTTTGGCATCGTTCATCTCTTCACTTTTACCCATTATTTAACTAAAGGACTACAGGGAGTCCTTGGAAGATCATCGAAGCCATTTGAGCGTGACACGGTCGAGGGAATTTCTGGAAAAACCCCCAGCTTATCTCCCTCTCCTGTCAATCCCTGCATGGTAAGTACACAGGGTGGGACTGTGTACTATTATCATTAGTGCCGGGCAAGTCTAGCCCCCATATATATATACCACTTTACCCGATAACGATTGGGCAATGATCCTTTAAATAGCCGATGATGGGCTGCCAACCGTTTTATGGAAACTGGCGATATCCCAGGTCTATATCAGGCCATCAGGGACCTCTGATGTCGGGAAATCGGTTCACGAACTCCTATAAACACCCGAGTTACGGGGCAAAAACTATCCTCTTATCGGCACTTGACCTTGCACCTGCGCCAATGTTGCAATCGTGCCAACTATAAATATATTATAACTGTTAGCTGATAGGGTATTAATGATGTCGCATGGAGGGTTGGTGGGGTTTCTCCTCTTTAATCCCATTGGGGTCGCGTTATAAGTCGTACCGCGGGGTTCTTGGGAAGTCCTGTAGCTGTACGGGTCTGATAAGGGGCACTTGTCCGCACTTACCCCCTGTCCTGCAACTTCACCTCCCTTCCAATACTGATATGCCTGACACACTATTTCTTTCGGCAAAAATCCCATAAACTTTTATAATTATACCAGAGATGACGACATGTTGGGATAACTAATTACTTGGCACAAATACCCTATTTTTTCGTATTTGTCTGGCTTAGAACTATTTAATCCTGGCCGGGGGCGTGCGTTTTCCACTGTCCTGGTTGCCATTATATACCAGAGCAAAGAGCATGATAGACGGTTCAGACTCATGTCATGACCACAACCCTCCCTGAACCTTGTTTGTGAACCGGGTACCCGGTAATAAAGACAGAGCCCGGCTCGCATATTAGAAAACCACATCAGTCTAACCGGGGGCAGAAAATTGGGCTTGGTCTGATGGCCCGTTTATATGATTCCAGCTGTGCCTCGTGTCTGGAGGGGACACAGTAACCAGATGACTGTAGAACGGTCCAAGTCTGGGTTAGCCTCATTATTCGCCAGTAAATTTAAGTTGGGGCAGAAGTAAACTCTCATTAGTGGGGCCTGCGGTATGATACAATCATTAACTTTAAATCTAACAAAGGAAAATGAGGTACAGTAACTTAAAGTTCAGTCCCCTATCTATTAAAGTTTGGTTATTGTAGACAATCTTGTAACAAGACTTGAGTTCCATCTGTCCCATTACCCGATTTCAGAGCAAGTTTTAACCTGGCATGCTACCAGCCCCATTATTTACCGGAGCTAATTGTTTGCAACCCGGAAAGAGCCCCCTGACTTTCGGCATATTGTAAAATACTTAATAGCTTAATGAGCTCACTTCACATAAGTCCTGAATAGGTCATGTCGATTTGCAAAATTGTGAAATTCGGGAATCCCAAGCTTATGCTCATTTAATAAAGATTTAAACAGAATTTTAGACTTTTAAACAGCTCCTTGTCTTTCAGGGAAAGTTAAAAAATCTACCCCAACATTCGGGGGGCTTTCTTTTATTTCAATATGATGTGAGAAAACATAAGAGCAGCGCTGAGAGGCCTGCACTCTCACAGCATTTTCACATCAGAATCACGGTGGGCAAGTCAGGCTGAGTGGGGGTGATGTGAGCATTACTTTGATTAATCAACAGATCTTGCTGGTAGGGTAGACGTCCCATCTAGTAGTGAAAACACAGTTCGAGTAGTGTACCTGATAAGATCTAATTGCATTTACAAGAGGGTTAAGTTCATTTCATTACTGATCAGATCTCCCGATCCATCCATCAGACCGGGAAAGGTTTCTGACTATTGTCAGTGTTGCTAGATATTATTATTGAGTATACTAAGTCATCATTCATGTGATGTTATGGTGGAAAGTTGCGTCGTGAGAGCACCGCTGAGATTATAATACGATATCTGTCTTGTAATCTTGATAAAAGGTTTGACCCACATATTTCGGAGGGGGCGGCTAAAGAGTTATCAGTAAACGCACTCTTGTCTGATATATATTGTCTCTACAGTTCCATCGAAATTGAGCGAAAAAATTTTAATATTTGTAGGAAATCGCACTTGTGGATAATATGCCAGGAAAAAGTTACGGAAATCGGAAAAGGTACAGTCACAGTGACTAAATCTTAGTTTCCTTCATGTTTATTCAAAGGACTACTACCGACAAAATTAGTGGTTAGAGGTTGCCTCCCTAATTTATACCCGGTCATTAGCGTGCAGTGACTGATCCGATAACCCGGTTCCTCATCTCTCAAATTATTTGTTACATAGTACTCACTACTCGCTCTAGTATCTATTACCATGCTGACATCTCGGTAACCAAACATCTCCCCGGTTATTCTCGGCTCTGTACTCACTTCAGGGGTATCACCTACTTTACTGATTTAACGCACTTCTAACGCACCCGCCGAAGGGTTTCAAACAATTCTCCTCAACACGATAATATTACTGCTCATAACAATTAATTTTTAGTCCTAAATTGTGATGATCTGTAACTAAGTGGGGCCACCCAAGAAGCGATTTCTGTCAGTGACGGTGTCCGGCCGTCACCCAAGTACCAATATAATTTGTCGGACAAGGTGTTCTTAGTTCTGACAGCCGTTCCTGAAATAGAAATAGAGTATTTGGTGTTGGTAACACTTCTTATGGCTCCACTCTTTCTATAAGAAAACCACTCTATAATTAGAAACGTGATAACTGGTTAGTACGTGTCGTACTATGGTCGTTATTTTTAGTTCAAAGAATGGTAGAGAGGGACAACGGCCAGACAGCTTGCAGCTCCAGCCAATTAGCTTTCTCAATAGCTTTCATTTCTGCGGAAACAAATTCACCATCAATATAATATGAGAATATTCAAATCTAGAAAACCAGATATTATTGGGATATCCTTCGCGCAAGACTTCTGACTTTTGTTCATCAAGAGTCGGACGCACGTGTTTATTGCCCAATCGTTTATTGCCAATACTTTGGACGAGACATGTATTCTGGCTCTTCACCCTTATTAATACATCATTCATAACAATATCCAATTGTAAGCCTCAAGATTCCGCTAAGTTTAGTTCGATCGTGCGAAGGCAGCGGACCAGTTTGCAACGATTTTTCTGATTAGTTTGCCGGCGAGGCTCTTTTAATCAATTTGTTGGGAGTTATTTCTACAGTAAAGCCTGGTCGAGTTGCACGTGAAGCCGCACAACGTTTAATTTATATTGAGGTCGAGCACAAGTGCTTGCCCTCCCGAAGTTTCTGATCGTGTCGTCTAAAGTTTTGATTAATTGACTGACATATCGCTAAGAAATTTCCAAAACTACCTTATCGTGTCGTATATCTCATATCAATATCACAGAACACACATTACGACAACATTTTACAGCTTCTTATCTTAAAAATGATAAATCTGACCACCTTGTCCATTTCAGCTACAAGTTCCACCCTCCAAATGTGGTGGTGCCCCAGAACCCTCATCTTCCCCACCCCTGGGGTGGTAAACCGGAGATCACACCACCTGGCCTCTACCTTCCTCTCAGCTCGGAGCAGCCCTCTCCAACTGTAGCTAACTTCAAGAGCGGCGGCAGTGCCTTCACCCAGGTCGAGAAACTCAGCAAGGTACGTCAGAATGTCTCCCTCTCTTTCTCTCTCTCTCTCTTCCTGAGATCTACATGATCGCTAATGCGGTGCAATCGTTTAGACTTCCAAACGCTCAAATGTGTTACATGGGTTGTTTAAATAAGTAAATACCTGGGCTCGTCTAATTTTGGGCCGGGCCTTTGGGCTGACCTATTCAGCCATATAACGACTAATGTATTATCCAAATGGGAGGATCTTTTATTCCCTACTTGCTTACAGCTTACCGATATTTTCACAACATTTCAGTGTTCAGCTCTTACTTTGTGGGCCCGGCCTGGTGCTCATGCACCGCGCAAAATGCACCGTCTCCCACAATTTAGGCAAATGTAGACAATAGTATATGCTCCCTTTTTACTGCATTATTCAACAAATAATATGTGCAGACTCCCCGAATCAAGTTGCATTGTAACAACGGGCAATGACTTGGAGTCATCCCTTTAGGTTCAATGTGTAATTAAAGTTAACCGACTTGCACATATTCACGGTGCCCCCTACTTAGCCCCAAATACGACATTCATATATTCACTTTATTCTCCATTTCAGTCTGGTAGCGTGAACGGAGGAGGGAGTTCTGGAAAATCTGACTCTGACAGCAAATCAGGAGGCAGTGGCAGTGGCAGCCCCGGCGGCGGCGGTGGGGAGGTGAGCAGCACCACCGAAAAATCAATCACAACTTCTGTGCTTTCTACCACCGACGCACTCGCACTTTACATGCTAGACACACTCAAGCAAAACATCAAACTGTCCCAAGTAAGAGCACTGTGTGAATGGTGGACTCTCTCTCTCTCTCTCTCTCTCTTGCATGCTCGTTAATTGTTAACCTGACCTGGACAAATAGTACCCATAATAACACCACGTAACACTGTAGCTACACGTAACACAATATCACTTCCACTACCCACTCTGACAACATCACGTGATTATGGGACACAGTAGCTCGCTGAGAGCTATGTTTCAAATGCTGAGTTGTAATTCATTAAGTAGTAAAGTACGAATAATAAGTGCTACTATACTACCTACAATACATGCTCTCCCTTCTCTCCCTCCCTCCCCATTTAGTTGTGCGTTCATTTAGGGTACCAGATGCTCTGTAAAAATAATATAAAGGAACCCAAATTGTTCAATATCATTAACCTACTATAGTGGACACATATTATTATGATAAATAATATTATGAGAATATTAATGATATTATATATTGGGGAGGGTTGTAGAGTACTCACACGTAATTTATCTGGGAGCAGACACAGTTCAGTTTACACGCATCATCGGAAGATGTCAGAAATGAGCGCTTCCATACTTGGCTGTTAAATTCACAGTTCAAAGGGCTGAGTACATCAAAGGCCACCAAACGCAAACTCAATAATTCATTAAGCGGTAATATATGCGGTAACCGCTTATTAAATGCGAGGCTATATTTAAATATTCAATTGCCATCATAATGCCCCAACAAGCAGATTAGTGCTATTCGATTTCCCATGTTTTAAAACCGGTCCGATCGTTTAAAAAAATACCCCTTTGAAAGGGTCTGGCTCTGTCTCCTGCCCTCTCTAGAGAGCTCTGCTACTTGAGGGTTGTTAGAGAAATAGTGTGCCCTGCCCCAGGATGATACTCAGCCCCGTCCCGCACCGCCTTGCACGGGTCAAACGATCCAGATTTCATTAAGAATGGCAAACCTTTCACACATACTTGACTCCTACTCAGCAACACAATGTAAAATTAATTCCCTAATTCTGTGCCGTTATTTGTTCGCCAATTTCTTGGCGAATGGCAGGGCTTGAATCGTCTGACTGGCCACACGATTAGACAAGATAAGGTCACGTGGGCCGTCACGTGGGCCGTGCAGATCTGCAATTGTTCTTTGTCTGCCCTTCTCTGTTAACTGCAAAATACTTGGCAATACTTACACTTTATCACTAATTAATCATACATTCAATTCTTATAATTCTGACGAAGTATTACAGAGACATATTCTTATACCCCCGTCTCACTGACCAAATTAAATTGTCTGTGCTGTGAAAGTGCGCTCTCCGGTAATCGTATCCTGGGCAGGTTAAAAGAACGTTTTGAAACGAATTCTAGAAAATAAAATCATTAGGGTATAACGCTCGGTGCTGATGACCTGCCCTATACCTAATTGATTCCAGCTGTCTGATGAGCTGCAATAAAGATTATATTATATCGACATATCTGTAGACCCCAAATTCATCTATCGTGTTCACGAAACAATCGAGCTATTGAAAAGTGAAGCGTGAAGTTGGAGTCTAGACTCTCACTCAGGTAATAATCACTCTGATCAGTAGATTTGAGAGTGAAGAAGGTAAATGATCCTGTAATTACGTTACCTTTAAGTAGATAAAGAGTATTGCTTTAGACTGCCAAGCAGAAAGTCGTGACTGGAATTGGATTACGTCACCCCCAAGTATCTTGTCAATCTGTAAACGGACCGGGCCTACTGTACTTTAATTGATCAGTGAGTTAACTACACGATCATCTGACTTCTGAGGGGCCACTCTTTCTTGTGGCAATTGCGCGGCGGTCACTTATGATGTACTGTGCTAGACTGTGACTAAAATCCCGGTAAATTGTAAGACAGTTTAAATATTTGCGGGCCATTTGTTGCACTTTTGTAACAAATTGTGAACCTCCGAAAACGCAGTCACAGTCTGGATCCACGAGTCTCAAAGTTCCAGTCAAGAGGTAGCTGCAATTGTAACGTTTAATTCTAGACGGCTGGCACTTGTAGGTCGTGCAAACGTGCCCAACAAGTACTTTAAACAACAAACATGTGTTACCTTGGCAATAAACATGTGTGTTACCTTGGTACTGAAACTAATTTTGTCACTTCATATTTAGCACCTTTTTGCAGTAATGGCGGCTCTTAAAACCCTCCACTACTATTCGTCTATACGCTCTAATCTTAGGACGATACATCCTGGTGTTAAACTGAAACCTGTGACAATATTTTATTTGACTATTTTATATGACTATTTTACAACATGCATGGTGCACAAATACTATCAGAGAGAGAGGTGTACTACATTCCCCCCATCTTATTATACTAGGTGATGCTTTAGAACAATACAAATTCACTGGATTAATCTCCAGCCGAGCAGCGCATTTTTTCAGCGCCAGATCATTGTCTGTGCGGGGTGTGCGGGGTGCCTTTAATCGAAATTTCACAATAAAGAAGACATGTTATACCCTTAAAGTTAATGTGGTCTCTGAAAGGGGTCTAGGGAGTCGTGTTGTTGCATAGCATGGTCATGTGAAAATAATGCAATAAAATGTACTCTCTCTTATTGGGTTATCAAACCTCCTGTAATAGGAGAGATAAAATTACTGTCTTTGCCCGTTTTTTGGTTTCAAAACACGTACGGAAACAGACACCTGTTGTCTATATATATTCGGTGTGATCGAGCGTTGAATTTCAAGGAGAGAGAGGTGGTCACGGAGGAAACGGAGGAGAGTCATTGGTCATTGGCCATCAGCCCTCTGATGATGATAAAAGCTAAAGAGCGTTACTTAGAGCCCCAAAATAATGACCACGGATTCCGTTGAATATAAGGAATGAAAACATGAAGAACAGAGTGCAGACACGGTGTATTAGATTAACTGGTTGTAGAAAACTCTGCTCCTCCAATGTGCACTGTGCAGTCTCCTCTTATCTCTATCAGAGAGTGAGTGAGTGCTAGAGAATAATTAATGTATTACCTAGTGGGTCGTGATGAGGAGTGTTTTCACTTCGTAAAGTCACGCATACCACAGGAGCATGGTATTTGCAGCCTTTTACCAGTATTTACAGGATCACTGGGAGTAATATTAGAAGGTATTACGTCACCACACCATTCCACCACAGCTTCAGCATCCGCTCCTTGAATCTATCACAGGGACTTTTTGGGAACTATTCACATGATCTCATCTCTGCACTTTACCACTCTTACACCACGATTACCACTGACATACTTTATTGCACCCCCTTCCTCTGGGAATGTAACTGTTATTGTTCTCCAATTTATTGTAAATGAACTGATAAGTGATGACATAACTCTCCTGATCATGAAATACAAAGAATTATTTACTAACCGTTAATGTATTGACCGTGAATTTAAACCTCACCATTATGCCTCTCCTCAGAAAAAAGATCCGGAGTGCAAGGAGAATGATAACATCATGCAGTTTACTGCCACCACCAAAACGGTATGTTGGTCTTGTAGATAACGAGTTTTTAAGCATGAAGTAATCTTCAAGTCTATCTTGGATCTTTTTCCAATAACGTTCCAATAACTTCAATCTTATTCGTAAAATCTAATTCTAAGGTGTGGAATCTTTTTTCTACGGAATCTTTCTACTGTAATTTCTAATCGCTCGAACGAATTGGTCGATGAAAACTTGACAACATCCTAACTCGATAGAAATACACAGTATCTTTCGTTCCTAGACTTTACCAAATTTTACCAGATGCCGGAAAAGGAAAACGACCTCTATTCATGTGAAAAATGCGGACGGACGTTCAACAATCTCAACAATTTCAAGACGCATCAGATTATCCATGCAGGTAAGTCTGAGTTTTAATCTTAATCCCACAAAATAACTTAGTTTATAATCTAATCAAATCACCCGGCCGCATTAACATGGCCGCTTAGAATAATGTAATGTAATGATTAAGTTGTCGATTCTTTCTATTGTTCCTTGAGTTTGTTTCTTTTGTTATTACGTCTATTTTTATCGAGTACCAACCTCCCTTCTGACTCCGTTCACCGATAAGGAGGCACCCCCTCGCTACTTTTTGTCTCGTCTCTTGACAGCAAATTATCATCGGTCCCCTCCACAAACTAGCCAAATACCCTAACTTCCAACCATGAACAAATCATTAAGGTAGTAAAATTAACCATCATCGCATCAACTTACAGCCGATTGTCTGAATTTCGGTCGAGTAAATCTGGCAATCTACTCGTCAGTCTGCAGCGGTAGTAGTAGGAGATCAAGCTTTCTCAACTGTCCTCATTTCATATACAGAGAATTATTAGAGAGATTTTAGCTGCCGTGTGTACTGAAAATTACAGTGTTCCGTTGTACAAGTGGTATTAAGATTATCAGGAAATTAGGGATTTCTTCGTTATTTTTACATATAATAATAATTGTTGTAGGTGTGGGCAGAAGTCTTAGATCCTCTAATTCAAACCCTAACTACCATTAGTACAGAATGTCATCTAACAGATCATTAATTGTGATTAAAGGACTTCGCTTTCTTTAATTTATCCCCAAAAAGAATCTGAGTCTCTAATTTTAACAAGTTCAGCCTTTTCCATATCATCACGTCACCTGCTGTAGTGTCCAGGCCGCATATATTGAACGAGAGCGTTATTGAGTAGCTAGATATTGCAACACACACATTAATCTATTAGACTGTAGAGTACGGGTCTCTCTCTCTCTCTCTCTCTCTCTCTCTCTCTCTCTCTCTCTCTCTCTCTCTCTCTCTCTCTCTCTATCTCTCTCTCTTTCTCTCTCTCTCTCTCTCTCTCTCTCTCTCTCTCTTCTCTCTCTCTCTCTCTCTCTCTCTCTTCTCTCTCTCTCTCTCTCTCTCTCTCTCTCTCTTTCTCTCCCTCTCTCACTCCTCAGGACGACCACGTTGTTTGCAGATTGAATGAGCTGAAAAAAATTCACAACTCACCTTCACGACAACACAATTGTCTCCACAATGGAAGTGTTGTGCTGAATGCTTGTTATTGCAGAACACTCCCCTCTCTATTAACTCTATTAAATCTGAAACTGCGACACGATAACAAGCTAGCTATTGAGTCACCAGATCTTTTAGTTTTACGTGTAATAATAGTGATGAGGATGAAGTGGAGTGCCCCCCTGCTTTCAGCGCAGCTGTCATGCACAGACAGCGGCGCTATCTCCGCACCTGCTTTGTTTCACAGCGTGCAGAGCAGCTGAGAGAGAGAGGGGACTACACGGTGTTTAATTGGTGATTTACATGAGTAACTGAAGTGTTAGATCATGATGTTATGGAGGGAGGAGGATCAGTGTAGCTGAGAATGTGTCAGTTTGTGTGAGGGAGTGTGTGAATATGTGTGAGGGAGTGTGTGAATATGTATGTTTCTATCTGAGAGTGTGAGAATTAGGATGAGTTTATTTTCTGTGTTATCAGAGAGCTCATATGTTTGTTTGTATGTTTGGTCAGACTGCATTCCTCTCTTGGCTCATTGGCTGCTCTCTGAAGAAAGAGAGCGGCCCAGGCTCGGGTAAAGAGGTGAAAAAGTTCCTGTAAAAAGAAGTGAGAACATGTAACACAGTTACGAGTTGTTACGACTCACAACCCTCTCCAGACCTCTATAATACTCTCTTCAACATGCCCTGTTCTGGTCTACAGATAAGAATTACAAGAGCCCAGGCCCATTAACGCTTCATCAACTCCGCTGCAGCGCAAGTTAATACTTGGGAGCACAGTCTGTAACGCTTCTAGCACCTCACAATCTCCCTATTGGAACACAGCCCGATACAACATGTTAAATGTGCGGTTTTACCGGCAGTTCTACTGGTCACATGACCAACCTTTTGTCTAACTTAGACTGGACACTTGTCCGACTTCTTCTCCGGAGATGTCGGAGCCCTGAACGCTGGAGTGCTCTGCCATATTAAAATTATACAAACAGATTGTCTCCACGTGTCACATGTTGCACCATCTCGTTCAACAAGCTCCCTCAAAATACATGTCTTTACTAATGCGTGCAGTTCCAGTAGGATTGTCTCTAATAATTTGGTAGACGTCAAACTTGAGGTCTTGTAAGTTTGGGTGAGGGGATCTTCAGCTGTTAGCGTGTCAAAAAACAGTATTTACAGCTGGCTTTAGCATGGGTTCCTCTGTATCATTGTAAGATAGATCTCATGAAGCTGTAACGGCGAGGATCAATATAGTTTTAGCTGTAAAGAGTAGTTCAGAGCAACATCGGATTTGGATCGTCTTCTTTTTCTCCGCGATTCCAGAAAACTTTGAGATCCTGGTATTGGCATGAACTGAAAATCTGTCTGGATTTCTTATTCCAGTACCAGGTTCGCGGTATATCTCGATATAAAGTTGTGATACTATCATGAATACTTACAAATACACGCCCTTCAATTAGCTAATAATATGGTAATTGGAGGTGCTAATATTTAATTGATTAGATGAAATGTCCTGATACCACCACTCACCCCAACCCGCCTGTCTGCTCTTCAAACACCGTGTTAAAAATATCTCCGAGGACAGCTCAACAAACACTCTCACTTATTTTCGTCACACAACTTTAAAATGACTTTAAATCTGATAATTGCCCGTAATGTTACTGAACAAGGCGTGAAGGCGAGCTTGATTATTGCTGGTAACTCTGTTGCCAAAATGTGTTTAAATCCTGGTTTTCAGTCGCAGTTTCGAGGCCAGATCTGTAACTGTCACATGGTTGTCAGGCCGGAAAACATTTCACTAAAATAGGTTATTGTATTACCAACAGTAGGTAGCCACTGATAACAGTCTTATTAAGACGGCATGGTGGGGTTAGAGTAAATCACATACAAGATAATAGATATTTAGGAAATGCTACTGGCGGGGCCAGGTGGTCGCTGAAAAGCAGGTACCCTGTCTATATTTGGGGTGTGATTATTTGGGGTGTGAACTCTGTACAATTAAGATAGTATCTCTGGAAGAGGTACGTGGTATCTTGTTTCTCTCTACCGTTGTCTGTCCCTCTCTATATCTAGATATTGCCCCCTAAAAGGCACTTAAGGAGTTAAGGTGGGACCTTGCCCCCGCCTTGATCACATTCGTAACTTTCACGCTCTAGATATCACCATTATAGAGCCGGTCAGTTACTACATGACATAATCACTGATCCTTACTTAAATCTTTATATAGATCCAGTTAACTGATATATTGAATCAGTTACTGTAGATATCCTTTTATCTAACTGAGCTGTCTATCCAAGAAATTGAGGAGAATTGAAAAGAAAGGATAGGAATAATGAGAATTGAGCTGTTAGCACTCCATCGATCACGTTTGTCGGCAAAAAAGTTTGATTAGCACGACCAGTGTTTCTATCTACTGGCAGTGCCTCGTAATTACACAAGTGCTTGCTCAAAGTTAGCTACAAATTGCATGGCACTTGTAGCAACCAGAGTGTTCCGACCGTTCGACAATTGTCTTGAAACCCACCAAGTTTGAAGTCTGCACTCTACGGATGAAGCTCCATTTCTGTGTCTTGAACACATTTTTAGCCACCATATGCATACATAACGAGTCAGATCAAAGGGTTTACTTTTAAAGGTTGAGGTCCGTGACCGTAGGAGGTTGACTGCGACTCAAGCTGCTGGTCTTTGTCACGGACTGTCTCGGAATAACATGACGGAAAGGGCTCTTTTCATCCACAGTGAAACCTCGCACATTTGAAAGTCTAACTCTAATTGGGTGGTGATGTGTGCATTTTAGCTCCGGGTAATCGCCTGTCAATGGGAAAATTATCGTGGTTCACTGCGCAGGACAGTCACGAGCCAGGACCTGTGAAATATCACCTGCCTCATACCCGTGCCTACAGAATACTGTTGTCTGTACGGTCACAGTACGGTGCTGTGCCTGGTGGGATATTATCCAGTTAAAAGATACTATCTAGACAGGATCAGGATTAGGGCTGGTACTGCTGCACAAACTACAACTCAACTCCCAAATTGATTTAAATCCAGACATTGATGAATTGAAGGACTGATGCTGTGAGTACATACTAGTACTACGTCATGGTACCGCCTCGTACCTCTTCATTAGTATTCTCTGGGTTTGTTTTGACTGGTCACTGGTCCCCCTCACACTTGTTATTAGAGACGCCACAATATCTGGAGGATGAGGTAACCGCCGCTTGGAAGAGAGCGAGATTATAGAGTATTGATCAGACAGTATTGTTGAAGTTATATTTAGAGAGCTGACTATAAGATCGAGCACAGCTCTCTGAACTGTACGGCTTCCCTAAAGTCTCTCGTAATAATGACGCTCAAAAATTCCTGTCATTTCCATCTCTCTGAGATCCTGAATATGAGCAGGAATGAGGATGTTACGGTGTGCCATCTGAGAGAGTGATGTGGTGGTGTCTGAAGTAACTACAGTATCCTGATACCGATCAGCAGCCTGAATCACACTGTATCACCTGTATCCCACCACTTACCTGCAGGGCTCGGGAGTAAATTTGCTGATTGCGTGATTCTTGTCCTAATATTTTGCTACATTATGACACATATTATCAAAATAGAGTTGATATTATGTTATTATGGAAAGAAAGGCAGACTCGGTGGCGTCTGCAGGCCTATTTGCGGAAGATTCTTTACTGAGGGATTTTTAATTCCCTGACCCTACTTGAAATAGAGTCTGAAACCGTTCTTAATGCTTGGCCCTGTGTCTGCTAAAGGTTTGATATCCAATGAGATGATCGCGCTGAATCACACCCCACGCACAAAGGCTAGGTTGTTTACGGTTCCTACCTCCAATCAAGCATGACCTCTAATACTCTTTAAATTCATCGCATTCCTATTTTGAAAGTGATGTCATATTCACAGCTTCCCTAGCTTTACCCCATACCGTTTACTGCAAATCCTTACATCCCCAAAAGTATGTCTTCATTGCGCTACATTCAATCGTTTCCATTTAATTTCCCAGCACACTCATTTTTCTTCCTCAAAATAGCCTGGCAAAAGGTTGCATTCCTGGGTACTCATTCTATCGTAGACTTTAAGTCGGCACACAACCTTACTTCCTTGTAGAAATGATTTCTGAAGAATGGCTTGTGCTGCTGGTGCACTAAGATATGCTCCTTACTAGTTATTAGACAGCTTATAAATGCATGTGGCAGAGTGTTAATACAACTATTTAGAACATGTATCACTTAAATATGCGCGTCTCTTAACCATACCAAATATAAACAAATATCATATGTGTCAATTCAGTCTGACATTATTTCATCAAGACGAAAACCACTGAAATTAAGTTATGTAGTGTCTATGGAATATTACAACCTTTAAATTTTAGTGTTGATTATATCATTACATAGAAACTTAGTATAATAGGTTTAACTATCATGTAGATCATTACTGATTTCGGAAAATTAAAATAGTTATTTTTTCCAATAGACGTTTTTCAATAGACGTGTGAAAGTTATTAAACTCAGATTTAAAGTGAGAAAATTAGAGTTTAATAAGTAAGAAGTTGGCTGCACCAACAGGTGATTCTCAACATTCATGAATATTTTGAACATTAATTCCTTTTTTTTGTTTGCATAATCTCACTGAATTTTGTATCACCAAAAGCAAAACATCCACTAAACTTACATCTTGAGTAGGAAACCAAGGAGAATAATAGTTTACAATTCAGATAAAAAACGGCAAATTAACATCGCTAATTATGACCACAAAATATAAAGGACCATTTTTCATTTAGCCATTCTCTAAGTATTAAGTATCACATTTCATATTTTGTTCATTAATTTTTCTCAATTCCAATCTATTAATAGACTTCCCCCTCTCACTCAATATTAACTGACTATATAATATATAGCACATTGTTTTTTATAGAGCAGAGAATTACGGAGGGGGTATCTTTGGGGCCAACTGGTCTAACACGGCACATATTCTCAGGTTCGTTAGCATGCAATGGAGAACTCTCGTGCCACCAGTGCAAGGCTATCTTCCTCACCAAACAGCAGCTCCAGGTATGTGGTTACACCACTCTTACATTGTCTAAAATTCTTAGATTCTTTTCATTTTTGTTACTCTATCCCCGCCCCTTAATGCGAGGGGGTGTGTGCTAAAAAGGGGGTGTGTCCGAAATGCTAAAGAGGGTTAGAACCTGCTTACCCGCAACTGTAATATCCTCCCTGCCTGTCATGCTGAAGTTAATCTGCTTTCACATATCTCCAAATATGTGATCATGGGGTTTGTCTGCAAAATTAGGTGGGAAACGTTAAACGTTATATGAAAAAAAATTACGCCATGACCTCTGTGAAGTAGACAACGGTATGTTAATAATGATAAGATGCTCGTAGTCAATTCAATTGCGCGGCTCCGGTGCAAACGTTTAGCCATATTTCAGTGTATCAATAGTAGTATAATATATAATAATAATAGTATGGGATTGACAGAAACCTATTGATAGTATCAATGTCCGATGAATTTATCATTAATTCTTTTATATCTGTAACCAACCAGAAAAATGCCGGCCGCCCGCGCCCTATAATAATATGATAATGTTGACAAATTGGGGGTCAATAGTAAGCATTTCGAGGAGGTACCAAGTAAACCACGCCACACTTTCGTGTCACGTAAATTTTATCAGTACCTCCGCTTTAGTATGTATTCGGTATGGTTGGGTTTTTCTTGCCACGATTTAATTTCGCCTTTTGGGGAAATCTCGACATCAGTGGAACCTCACTTAAATCAAGTATTTTTCTACGGAAATGCTTTTTGGGGAGTACCGGCAATTCTAAGAAATGGACTCATTATATTTAAGAACGCGAAATCTGAGTATCCGAAACAAAATTGCAAAATCCCAAGATTGAGGAAATCTAAAAGAAATTTTCGTAATTCTGCAGAAATGACTGGGCGTGCAAATATTCAATATTAAGATATCTCCCTATCACTGAACAGTAATATATTATCGGATAAGATTGTTGTGTGAATAGTATCTAAGATCCAAGCCCCATAAATTGTATCATTGATCTTATTAGTGCGATACATTACGGCAAGTCCACCTAAAATTAAAGTCATTTAAATAGTTGTATATCGTATTCTAGTAGACGACGTTCCGCCCCACCAGTCATACCATTTACCACAAGCTAATGAGAATGAGAATGATCTGTCAGCATTGTGGGTTGCAGTGATTTCTTTTCCAATCAACTTTTAGACTGGCCGTCTGGCATGTTATCTAATAAGAGTGAGGGTGGACAGTAATAGGTGTTAGGAGTGGTCGGGGAACTTGGGGGACTTGGAGAGCACTATTAATGTGTTCCGAGGAATGGAAGATTAGAATATTAAAAGTGGAAGAAGCTGCATTCTTGATGGAATATATCAACTGTAATAATATCTGAACATCAGGATCTAAAATCGATAAGAATATTTTACGAGTTGGTGATCATTTGAAAGTCAGCGCCAGGTCCTTAAAAGGGATTAAATCTCGCTTCCCTCTTCTCCTTGTCAAGGAAGGTATCTCTCTCTCTCTCTCTCTCTCTCTCTCTCTCTCTCTCTCTCTCTCTCTCTCTCTCTGTCTGTCTGTCTCTCTCTCTCTCTCTCTGTCTGTCTCTCTCTCTCTCTCTCTCTCTCTCTCTCTCTCTCTCTCTGTCTCTCTCTCTCTCTCTCTCTCTCTCTCTCTCTCTCTCTCTCTCTCTCTCTCTCTCTCTCTCTCTCTCTCTCTCTCTCTCTCTCTCTCTCTCTCTCTCTCTCTCTCTCTCTCTCTCTCTCTCTCTCTCTCTCTCTCTCTCTCTCTCTCTCTCTCTCTCGATAAGATGATTGAGGTGTTCAGGTAGGGACAGCGGGATGGGATGCTGCAGTTACCGGATTATATCGAGAATTCCTACAAAAGTCGTAAAGTTAGAACTTTTATTTCACTGTGCATGAAGGTTTAAGACTTCTGGAAGACAGGCTACTTATGAAGGAGGTCTTACATAAAACCAAAGCCTTATATAGGGGCTATGTAGGATATCGTCTTCTTTTTCATTGATTGCTTTTGCCACAAAGCGTATTCATAAGTTTTCATCATAACGAGAGGGATAAGACTTTCTCTCTCTGACCAAAAATTACCGCTGTCCAAAATTGATAGGCTTTAGTTACATTTTAATACTATTGGTTAGAACGTATCGTGTTTGTCCGAAAAATATGGAAACGAAACTTTATAATTTGTTTAGGCCAATAGACCAGTGGCCGAGCAGCATATCAATTAGCTCTAATTTAAAAACAATTGGGAGGTAGGGGGAGTGTTGATTGGAGTCCGTTACGCACTATTGGTGACCACTGACTTGCTGAATCTGGCGGCAGGAACACGTGTAAAAGAGCAGCCTGGTACTGACACCCCCTAACTAATATAGACACAATTGATAGTTCTCTTTGTAGTCACTTGTTGTAGCTAACTGTCCACTCTCGATAAATACTCAGAACCGTGCACGGCCTCGGAGAATTAGCAACATTTATATCATGGCCGACGTGCTCTGTTGTAACTGTGTGGTCGGGGTATTGATATATGGAATCTGCACATTTTATAAGGTGGCAGTGCGAGGTTACTTTGTTACCATAGCACCAATTAATGTGGCCACCTTATGAATATATACATCAATTGTCGTCAGCCACCCGCGGAGAGGACCTCACCAACACATCTTAAGTCATCTTTAACAAGCCAGGGGCATAATATTATGGAGCTTAGCAAGGTGTTCAGTCGTTCACAGGCTCGATTAAAGACTTCTATAGAACTAGATTCGGCTGGCCCATTTCATTTTATGCGCATTAAATGTACGGGGGATGAATAGAAAACTTATCTTTCTGGCGTAATGTGAAATCTTAAGAATTACGTTTCCTTGAACAAGGAAGATAAGAAAAAGTTTTAAAAGTTAAATGACATATTTTCTTATGAAAAGCACGGTAAGATTATGTTCTCTGTAATGAAAAGCACTATTTGTAACGAGTGAATATTTTCAGTCGCACATGGCCACACATACGAGTAGCTACTGGTGTGTATACTGTGAACGCTCCTTCAGAAACGAGTACAACTTCAAACAGCACCAAACGGTAAGTTCACTTTTATAGTATCCAATGTTTTTAAAATACCTTACCGGAGATTCCTAAATCTCAGTTTTGATACTATTTTCTGTTACAATTTTGACGGAAATGTATCACAGCCCTCACTCCCTTTATTTACCAATATCGTCACATGTTTGTAATCGATTGTTTGAAACAGTATTTCACCGCTCAATTTCTGCACTTAGTTGCAGCATACTTCCGATTGAAATAATAATGACATGTGCTGGATAAATTAGCCCGATTGGTGTGGCAGATTAAAAATGGCCCATTAATTGGGATCTGTCATTCATCTGCATGCTAAGACCTCACCACTTATCAAAATTTCCCAAGACTCTCATCAACATTTCCCAAGATACTCCAAACAGCTCAAATGCTCTGCACACGCGTCACCGCCACCAAGCTCCGCAAATAGATCACTGCTCGATATCTTTTTGCTGGGTTTTAGCTCTCAATTTCTTTGACTGTGTGCAAACGAAGAACGGAGCTCAGTAATTGAGATCACGTGACTTATCCTCACGTGACCTCACTACAACATGCGATACTTCTCAAAATCCAATGGCGTTCCCCCCGCCTATCGTCTACATTCGAAGTTTATAAACACACATAATGGAAAACTTGATAAAGGAGCTCGAGACAGCTGGCTTTAACAGCTAGAGTTTGTAAAAAGAAATCATCTATTGGCCGGCTAGTGTAAATATCATGCACAGGCGGACTAACTAGTTCAAGTCGCATTGCTTGCTTTATTTCTAAAATATTATGCTGGCATTTTATTGTCGTCTATAGTACGATATAACAATGTACTATTGGTTTTTAAAGAGGGCAGCCTCTCTGTGTATCGTGGCGTGCTTGAACTACTTGCTAAATCATTGCCATTGACGAACAAAACAATTCGGCAAGTAGAAATAAAATTCTCCGGATTATTTAATCCTGCTGCTCTGAATTTTAAAACCCCTCGCTGTCTGACGCACATATATTTAAGACACGGTCCCCTCTCTCTCTCTGCCGATTTACGGCAATATGTGATATTAAGTGGTAATATGTGAACTGGACCGGAACTTTGACTACCGGGTTACTTCAGGTGTCCCAAATTAGAGTCCATCGATGAAATCGTGATCCGTGTCACGTTTCACTAAGCTAAGACCGAGGTTATAGACTTCCTGCATACTACATAATTAAATGTCGCTATTTTCGTAACACCTATTCTCTGAGCATAGCTCTCCACTACAGTGCTAAACTGTCAATCGAGCTCAAATGACATTTCTGGCTACAATGAATTGTTTCTCACTCATTTTGCAACCAGACACGTGCCTAGACACACACTGTTTAAAAGTATACAACATCTGCTACCAATAGTACCAGTTTTTGTTCGACCAGGATGATCATATAATATCTCTGACGACGGCAACACAGTACAACACACGCCTCACTCCTGTCCTTCCCAGCAAGACTCACTTGCACTGCACAGACGTATTATAATTAGCAAAGTCCCCCGTCGTCTTGAGTTTTAACTATTATAGCAGTAGCACGGGCCATAGCTGTCTGCTATTCTATAATTACCGGCACAGACTCCACCGATATTATACCCACTCTCCGGGTGTGTGTGTGTTAAAAGTGAGGCGAGGTTATTGCTGCTGTGCTGTTATGGTCCAGCTGTTGTCTGTACATAATTAGCATTCAGCATCTAATGTTACATTTCATGTCTAGGTGTCTACATTACCAACGCATGAGGGGTTCAGCAGACCATGGTGGTGGTTGCTCTCTCTCTCGGATTTTATAAATAGTACATCAATACCCGATCTTGCAGGAGATTGAGTGCAACTCTTTTTGCGCCTTTGCGAGAGCTTGTTCTGCTAAAGAGTCTCTCTCTCTTTTGAAATAGCCCTGCCCAGTATTTGCGTCACGTTTGAAAGGAGTGAACACGTTTCACTGAAAGGGCTACATAGTTCGTTATTTAATAAGTAATGGAACGCAGACCTACTCGCACATATTCTATCTCGACGGGATCATGAAATGCCTTTTATTTGTCAAGATTTCTAGGCTACATATGTTGCTGGCAAAATCAAGCTGAGTTTCATCACGCTGTATTTCAAACTTTTTGGAACGCGCAACGACGAACGGATATTTCGTGGGGAATTTCGGATTTTGGGCGCTCACGTCGCCACACTTCCGCGCCGACTTAGTCTTCTGTTGCAACGCGTTACCGTGGTTCCATCGGAGCACTACAAATTTTCTGGACTCTAAATCGTTTCACGACCACAAACCACTCATCACACTAATCTGGCCACTCCGGTTCTAGGGTCCAATGCTTACAATTCAGCAGAAAGGTAAATCATGGTCCCTAACCTCGCTCTAATCCCAGGTTCACACGACTCTGATGAACGAGAGTGACAAGAAATACCCAACATGGTTGGAGTCCTTCCGACAAGAGATGATGACTTGTGTCACCTCCTTGGAGACTCCTCAGCTCCACTTGCCTATGTCAGCGCTCAACACTCCTGTTACCTCAACAAGCTCGAATGGCAGAGATATCTCTCCCACCCATCCAAGTATGTCATCTAAAATTCGATTAGAATTGTTTTTACATTCTGTAGAATTCTTCGCTTGACAGAGCCCATCCTCGTGCAATACCTCTATCACCAAGTCTGCATGTTCTTAACGTCCCGCAATTTCAGATAACCCAGCAGACCAACAAGAATCTCCCCGTAAAACTCGAAAGCTGGGCGCACCTTCTCCTCAGAAAAGTAAGATTCTTAATTATACATACCACATAAATCAGCTAGAAATGAGTGTGTAGTGACCCAGGGTCGTTTCCCTATACATGATTCTCCTGATCACGTGGCACTACTAACAGCTGAGTTTACACACGTAGCAGATGTGTCACGTGTGGGAAGCGGCGGGAGCCGAGTGTGCAAGCAATAGACATTAGACAGTGTCTAGACGTGGCTGTCTGGGCAAACACACACTCCGGTCATGATAAAATAAATATAGCACCACGTGAACTATTTTTATCATGTCCGCATTTGTCTGCAACAATACTCATTATTATTTTTTGAGAGCGTTACTAACACTAATGTTATTTCAGTGACAGAGAAACGGACAGATGATTTAAAAGCAATGCGGTTAAAGGCTATGATGAATATTGACCCACTCGGCCACGCAATGGTGCCCAAATTCTGCACACCGTCTTCCATGCCTTTCTACGGGCTTGGCTCGGCAGGATCGAGCTACTCCGCAGCGAGTCTATCGGCTGGATCTAGTCGCTCGTCAGTAGAGCACTTCAGTGCCCTTCATGACCCTCTCTCCAGGCACCCTGTGTCAGCAGGTCCCGCCTCAAGAGTAACTTCCTCCTTCAGCTCGCTTCCCCTCTCTGCAGGCTGCTTCGTGCACCCCAAACCCATCAAGGTGGAGCCCCATCCCAGGAGACACTCCTTTGAGGAGTCTGAACGTCAGCAAGGAGCCGTGAGGCAGGAGACGATGAGACAGCACCAGCTAGAAGCTGCTAGACTCCAAGAGGAGGATAAGCGCCAGGAGGCCTGTGAAGCACTCCAAGCGCTCAAAGCTGAGCCTGTGGCCCATGATGAAGTTGATCAGGAGGCTATGGATACCACGACACCTGAGAGCAAACTCCACAAGTCACCTGCGACAAAAGAACAGGATGAGACTAACGTTGAGACGCCGATGGAAGCGGAAAGATCCGGAGAAGAAGCAACAGCAGCGAGTAAGGAGCCGAGTAAGGAGCAGGAGGAGCGCAGTCTGGAGGCAAGTGAGGAGGAACCTAGCTCCAAACGAGCCCGAAACATCACCTACCAATGCTGCAATTGCGAGTACACCAACACCGTCCTGAGCAACCTCACTTCACATTTGGAGAGTGAGCACAGTCTTACTGACTACGAGCTCATCAAGTCCTTGCTGGCTTGTCTTGGAGACATCGGAGCCTAAGGTGAGCACCTCTTCGACTGAAACAAGTGATCCTGAAGATGCGAAGTAAAACGTCGGATTCTGGCGTAGTTAACGAGCCAGGATTCGGTAAATAATATAAGTTAGCCGCTAATCATGGACTTAACAGCGCAATATTTGGAACACTACTTTGAAAGTGTAAGCTTTGAAGATATAAATAAGAACTCAATACTTTGGAGATTGTAATGTTGTTTTGTTTTTGCTTGAAATTTGTTTTGTTTTTAATCGTATGGATAAAATAGTAAATGTTCATTATATTATGGATTTCATAATGTTGTTGGACCGTCTTGTGCCCCCAGTTTCTGAACCGACTATAATCCTCAGAGGGAGCGTGTACTTATCCTCGACAGCATTATGACGCTCTAGTATTTAGAGATACTTAAAATTCCATATTTGATCGAACCTCTTTAGCGTCTTCTCAGAACGTGTTATAAACGTTTTACGCAATCCCATCAAATATGGAATTTTGTATCGTCTGATATATGGTATCATTTTAAAATAGGGTTATTGGTTAGAGAAATCTCGTGACGATTGCTCGTAACGATTCATATTTGATCACTATTAACCGCCGCCCTGAAATAGCCTCATATCCCCGGATTGATGCAATAAATCATTGCAATGTGTATATGATACGGGTAATGTGAACTCAGACGTGCGCCTTGAAATTCTATAAAATGGGATGCCCTACTGGTTCCTGATTGTCGGTTAATCACTTCTAGTATAGCTGATAACCTGTGGGAACTTAAACTTTGGTTTTAGTAGGTATTCCATGAGATCGGGTATTCGGGGTACGTGGTATTCGGGAATGGCTGGAGTATTCGGGGAATGGCTGGGTGTGAGCCAGTTAACTTCTTAAGTTTACAGGTTTATATTACATAATAGTGGTGCGAATGTTTATAGTTTTTACACTCGTTGATTCTCCAGGAGAGATACGGGACTGGAACAGACCTGACCTGGTGTCCGGAACTGTTTCCCAGTGTCCTAAACTTTTTTTACAGAGTTTGATGAGAACTATTGTTAAACATTGATATATAATGAGGCACGGTTAAAGTATATTTGAAGTTTGAAGATGGTACATTTGAAATGTTAGTTAATATGATCACCACTATGTTTTATAGTGCAGCTCCACAGTGTTCATGTATTTATTTATAGATTTAACGCTATTTTTACGGGTACTTTACTGAGTATTTGAGATTTTATTAATAAAATGTAGTCTCCTACAGAGGATAGTGATTGACGCACATCATAAGACAGTAGCTATGTTATTATTTGTTGGCGTAGAGGGTGCTGCTTACTATTTTATCTTTGAACGATCTTTCTTTTGACGTTCACTTAAGCTCGGCAGCACCCTTTCATCCGACTTAAAACTAATATTTGAGCCCTGAGGCTTCTTAAGTTTTGATGATTTAGTTGAACTATATCTATATATATGGTTGCCGTGGTTACTATCTATGATATAACACGGGAGAAGTTTATGTTTTATAACAAGGAGGGTTTTTAAAGAGAGGTAGCACTTGTCAGGCTGCCCAACTAATCGATATCAGGAGTTTCAAGTTGGTTGTCAGTCTTCTTTTTGAGGATTCCCTCATACGACGAGCACAGAGCTCCCATATATTGTAAGTTATATAGTTGTGACGTTTTGACACTGTCTTTAGTCGTGATCAAGACACTGGATGGAAGTATGCCGCCGTCGCCGCTGTGCTTTCTACATATGAGTCACGTGACTGCTAGAGAGAGAGAGGAACTAGTTTTAACCCCTGATATAACAGTTTTATTAATTAACAGTTTATACTAAGGTTTGACCTCGCGTTGGAGTGTGTGGAGCTAGTGTGACAACACAGTTTTATTTTTAGCGCAACACTACTACAGGACCTGTGCCGACAACTACTACCAGCTGTCTTCGTCCTTCTCACACCATTCTCCCTCTCTCTCTCACTCTCTCCTTGTGTTTTAAAGCATATCGAGACTGTCTGTTTCGGAGAGGAAGGTGGAGAGATGCGAGGAAGCGTGGGTGGCTGGTGGTTTTGGTGGGCATAGTGCCAAGAGTTTTAATGTTCAGATAACGATAAGAATCGCAGCGTTTTACTTAACTTATGATTAACTTAGTTGAGCCGAGTAGATGATAGATCAGTGTGTGAGAGTGAGTGTGTATCAGTAGGGCTTAGAGTTGCTCTCGTGGGTTGAGATCTCTCCAACTTTTCGTATCCTTCCTTTGGTGAACACCCCCTACCTACCTAAAGTAGAAAACATTGAGATTATCCACAGAAAAGTTGGGGGATCTCCACTCATAACATCGTAACCATTTTGTGTGACATTGTATATTTATATATTACTATATTAACAACCCGGCGTATTCAAATAACCAGCTCGTCCTAAGAAGCTTAGATATCGTAACTATTATATATCTAATATATTCATACGGTGATATTCAATTCATAATACTAAACATGCTGATAATGATAATGATGATAATAATAATAATAATAATGCCAGTTGTCTAGAGATTCGGTGGCTGTCACGTGACATTTGATGTCACCCGGGACCTCGCTGATCGAGTGGTGACATGTGGTATTCAGCCACCGGAACTTTGTCAACTTTGTACAAAGTTCTACAAAAGGAAATGTTCCCAAAATTAATGCCAGAATATTGAGCACCCTTGCCTGGTGTGCATTTTGAAGATATTTTATAACCTTTTTTGAACATCTGAGCTTGCTTGAGCGAGCGTTCTTGGTAACATTTCCAAAATTCTTTTGAAAATAATACATTAATTGTTGTGATTTAATATAGGAAAAATATGAGTGGTAAGTTTTCTATGAGCTTTTATACGAACCCCCGTTTGATGGGGCCCCTAACTCGAATTAATGTATATATTGTAAAATAAAGAGTTCTTTTGGTCAATATTTGCGATTTCGTAGAAGCTCTACCCATCACCCCTTACCAATTAGAAGAAGCACAGAACATGACAACAGTTCGAAACTATCTTCCTAGCTCCAAATTATATGCCCATCAACTTGTTCTAATTTTTGCAGAATTTCGAAACTTGACGCACGGCCACAGCATTGTCAAAGCTTCAACATTAACAAAAAATAGGAATTCTTTTAAACATTTACTTTCAAGACCTGACAGGCGTCGCCCTACGGACAGTTTTAGGGACTTCTTAAACCTTAAACTTAATAATTAGTTCAATCTTGTCATGTGACCTGACTGTCTTGGGCCGTATCCCATAAAGGCGAGCACTACAAATTTACTTTCGACCTGAGAAGTCTTACAATCGGACAGGAAGCGCGAGTAGAAAGATATTGGTAAGGTTTGAGGGAATCATTAAGGGGAACAAATAACACTGGTTTTGTGAAATATGGTGTATTGATTGCTGGAGTGATGTTTATTGTTGATTAATAATTATATTAAGCTAAGAGTAAAATTACTGTGTTTAATTTGTTCAAATTTTATCAATTAAAGAATTAATATCAGAAAATTAAAATTCTGATTGCAAAGAAAGAAAAGAATAACTTGAATCAAACCACATCGGATGCAATTATGAGGCAGATGCTGCTTAAAGTTTGTCTAAAACGGTTAAGTTCGATATAAAAAGTCATAGCTTGACGACTATTGAGCTGAGTTACTCTACCCCAACTCTAAACATGGTAAGATAGTTCAATACCGATGTAGAATCCACTATTCCAACGAAAACCTATTTATTTTCGTAATTGAAACAATAATTCATTTTGAGTCACATTAAGGTTTGAAAGTTGTGTATAACTTGATTTTGAGAAAGCAGTTGACCAACAAACTAGTGCTTGTGACCACACTTCTGCACACCGGCGCCTGCTCAATAATACGGAATCCCGTCAGTACCATATCATCTACCAGTACCACATTTAATACCTGATACCAGCGCTCAGGAGTTACTAGTTACCGCCACTGAAGACTATATTAGGTTACATCGTCCTGCACCAGTCTCCCTAAGACTAAGTACCTAGAGTCTAGACGGCAGGTAACGCTTTAAGTGCCGTCTAGGTAGGGTCTACATGCTCCAGATGTTTCCTCCAGTCACATCATCTCCCAGGATTCCGGGCCCCATCAATTCAGTACCAATCTAGTACCAGATCCCATCAATCAACCCCCAACAATAAGAAGCGGTCACATGTTCGTATGCAGGGTTAATACCAGCAGATCAATTAATGCTAGCCGTCACTAATTGCATCCAAGATACCATTCATATTATCTGTTTACCACCATGTCATAAGTTAATAAGTAGTCCGTGGATTGGTCCACAGACTGGGTCGTGCTTCTTGGATACTGCCGATTAAAGCACTTGTCGCTAAAATACACTGAATTTGAAGGGTTTTGAAAACGGACAAAGTATTGAGTTAAGAGCAAAATTAATTTTGTCTATCCTCACTAATTTGGAGAATTGACTGTCTTGTCTATATCCTTATATCGCAGTAGATCCATCATGATGTCTGAAAATACGACAGTGAAAATAGTAACGACTAGAATGAGGATTGAGTATGACACGTATGATTCTATATAATATCTTGATTACGCTAAGGCGTTCGATAAAGTTGATCACAAACTGTTGATCAGGAAACTTCACCTCTATGGCTTAAATCCAAAAATCATCAAATGGATTGAATCTTTTCTGTCAGACCGGAAGCAAGCTGTAGTGGTCGACGGCCACTTGTCATTTCTCGCTCTGATCATCAGTGGTGTCCCCCAGGGAACAGTCCTCGGGCCGATCTTGTTCCTTATTTTCATTAATGATATTGAGCATTGCATAACTGAATCCATCATCAGATGCTTTGCAGACGACACTCGTGTTTCAATATCGGTAACCTGTGAACAAGACGTATCTGTGTTACAAAACGACTTGAACAGTGTCATAAAATGGTCTGAACGAAACAATATGGCACTACATAAAGACAAGTTTGAGTACATGTGTCACAGACACAATCGACGTAGTGCTCTCGTCGAACTTCCTTTTGTTAGTGAACTATACCAGTACTCAGTATCCAAAGACAAGTCACTCGCACCTGTAGGTCAACTAAGAGACCTCGGGGTTCTCGTCTCCAACGATCTATCTTGGCAACCCCACATCAAGACCGCAGCAAACAAGGCTCGACAAAAAGCTGCCTGGGTTTTCAGTGTCTTTCAGACAAGATCTCCAGTCATAATGCTTACGCTTTACAAGTCGATGGTTCGTAGTTTACTGGAATACTGTTGCCCGCTATGGCACCCCTCCAAGATATGTGACATCCAGGAGCTTGAAAGCGTACAGAAAGCTTTCACCGCAAGGATTACTGGAATGCGTGATCTCCATTATTGGGACCGTCTTCAACGGCTATCTCTGATGTCTCTACAGCGTCGCAGGGAGCGGTTCATTTTACTTCATATGTGGAAGATTCTCCATCACCATACCAGCAACGACATTAACGTGCAGTTTGTCTCCAGGCCACGTTTTGGAAACCTTGCAGTCATTCCATCTGCATGCAGACACAGCTCAGCAGCAAATCAGTCACTGTATGATAATTCATTTGCAGTCATAGGCCCAAAATTGTGGAATGCAATGCCTTACCATTTGAATTCCATCGGCGACCGAGAGCATTTCAAATCGCAGCTCACCCAGTTCATGCTATCTCTTCCGGATACACCGCCCATCAGGGGCTACACTCCTCAGAACTCAAACTCGCTGCTTTGCTGGAGGAATGACAGAGAGATCTCCTCTCTGTGGGGTGGTCACACAATGTGATGGCCCTGTTAAAGCTTAACGAATCTCAACATAGGTGACATAGGTAGGTGTATATATTATTACCACACATAGTACGTCTTATAGCTGGTATTAGCTGGTATTTCGTTATGAGGAGTTTCCCAGTAATTTTATTGCTCGTTGTCTCAGTTAGAAGCTATGAGAAGATATGTGAGTTCGTATATAATAACCCTGATTGGGTGGATCATTCTAACAAAGAAGATACTTTCTTCGAATATAGAGTTGAGAAGGGCAAGGTCACTGGTATTGTAACTACCAGTTTTGATATAATATCACCAACATGTGAATATAAACAAGCAGACCATCAGATTCATGATTTCTTGAGGTTTTACACTCGTGGATCTGGAGAACTATTTCAATCCCTGGTATTCAAGATACGTTACAGCACGGACAGTGAGTACACCTACTTTACAATATTAGGGAAGAGTGATAATGATAAGCAGATTGGAGTTACAGACTATGTAACAGGTAAAGCAGCGGATATTCAGATATCAGACCTGTAC